CCATGACGTTTCAAGTGACCAAAATATTTCAATTTTCTTTGTTTTATTGTCTTTACTAGCCAACCCTCTTCAATATTCAGCTCTTGAAGTATGGATGCATTTGTTCTTTTCTTTACCCAAGATATTCTTAGAACCTGTCTGTAACATTTATATTCAAATGCATTTATGCGCTGTTCCGCTTGTTTAGTAAGTGTCCAGGTCTCACAGGCGTATGTTGCAATGGGAAAGATGCATGCTCTTAAAAATCTGACCTTTGTAGTTCTATCTGTACAATTCCATAATTTATTCAGTTGTTTTAGTCTTTGAAGAGCAATTGATAGTCGCCGTTTAATTTCTTTCATTGTGTCACCATTGTTGGTAACCAGTGACCCAAGATATTCGAAATTTTCCACCACTTCCAGTCTTTCCTCATTAACATATATTTCCTTCTCCATGGCAGTTTTGTTTGTATGCATTATCTTTGTTTTTGCTATGTTAAGAAATAAGTTATGATTTTCACTATTTCTTTGGAGTGAGGTTAATTAGTTTTCTAAACCATTTTGTGATGTTGATAGTAATACTGTATCATCAGCATAACGAATTTCTGGTATTTCATGACCACCGATGTTTAGGGCATCATATTGTTCCTTGTTTATATCATCTCTTACATTTCTCATTATATTTTCGGCGTACAGGTTGAACAAATACGGTGACAGCACACATCCCTGACGGACTCCTTGCTTGATGCCAAACCAGTCTGATGTCTCTCCATCTATTCTGACTGCTGCTTGTTGGTCTTGATAGAGCATTTTAATGAGCTGCATTATATGTGATGGAAAGCCCATATTCCTCATGATTTCCCAAAGCTTCTGATGTTGTACACAGTCAAATGCTTTTGAATAATCCACAAAACATAAGAACAGATTTACATTAAATTCTCTACACTTCTCTATTATTAAACGCATGTTAGTAATATATAAGAGCTACTATATACCAATACTATATTTCTACGCACGCATACTCTCAACATTGAAGCGACGAGGAAATAACATCATGTAATAACATGTTTAATGTAATGTTTCTATGACGCTAAATTTTGTATCAACCGCTTACACATGTGAACTGATCACACCACGCCACTTATATGTATATATATATATATATATATATATATATATATATATATATATATATATATATATATATATATATATATATATATATATATATCTCCCCTTGTCATTGAGAGTTGGAAAAAGAATTCTTGCTTGCTACATACATCCAATTTTAACATATGGCTGAGAATCCTGGACAATCGGTAGGCAGGCCAAACAATTTCTAGAGGCCTCAGAGATGTGGTTTTACAGAAGAATGCTTAGAATACCTTGGACTTCCAAAAAGAGCAATCAAGAGGTTTTGAAAGAGGCGGGACCCCGAAGACAACTTATCACAGACATTAGAAGGAGACAGTCATCATTTTTCGGCCATGTTATGAGAAGAGGGAAAATAGAACATGTGGTGACCACTGGAAAGATCTGTGGAAGGAGGGATAGAGGAAGACAACGAGATAAGATGCTTGACAGTCTTGTTGCATGGTAAGAAGGTGTGTCTGCACACGAACTGATACATGCTGCAGGAGATCGCAGATTATGAAGAGGCATGATCGCCCACGCCAGTCGGCAAGGCACCTGATGATGATGACGATATATATATATATATATATATATATATATATATATATATATATATATATATATATATATATAAATCACCATCATCAGGTGCCTTGCCGGCTGGCGTGGGCGATATATATATATATATATATATATATATATATATATATATATATATATATATCACCATCATCAGGTGCCTTGCCGGCTGGCGTGAGATATATATATATATATATATATATGGCATCTAGGATTTTCTTTAACAATTTTTAACCTCCGCTTATTTATTGTTCGTGAATCAGCCTTAATTTTGTTTCTGTTGGCAGACAGTCAGGTTACAAATATAGCTTCCTTACCCGCGCAGGACTGCAGGTTACACCGAGCTGGCGTGGTCGTTGTTGGTGCCCTAATGATAGCTTTTAAGTGACCTGGGGTCAAGACCAGACATCATGTCTAGGACTGCCCAGACAACATCAGTCCTTGCTAAACCATAAACATGGAGATCCAAAAACATTTCAGGCAAAACTAAAAGATTCGATTGCTCAGAGCACTAGCTATTAGTAAATTTACATTTGGCAGTGAAACATCGACCTTAACAGCTGAACTTGAAAGAAAAATACAAGCATTGGAAATGCGATATTTCAGACAAATTCTTGGCATATCATACATATACCACATTACAAACGAAGAGGTACGCCATATAATTATGCAGCACATTGGCAACTATTAACCTCTTTTAACTACAGTGAAAAGACGAGAAATGCAATGGTATAGACAAGTAAAAAGATTTAACGACCTCTCACAACAACAAAATACTGATGGGCTCAGTCGAGGGAAAGAGGAGAAGAGACAGACCAAGAAAGATTTAGTTACATAACCTGACTTACTGGACAAGCCTCAGGCATGCAACTATGAAGTCCATAGCAACTGATCCTCAAAAGTGGAGAGAGCTGATTAGACAGTCAACAGAAACGAGTAACCCAAGAACATGCAGTGTTACGGGATGATGATGATGATGATGAATGATAACTTCCTTGAAGATTGAACTGGGTTTGCTCTACGACCAACACTGGGATTATATTAGTCAGTTGGTTTGTCATCCACACTGAGATCTTCTGATCTCATGGTGGCAACATTTTGGTAGCAGTCCAGAAGGGATGATCGGCAAGCACGTACATGGTAGTCAGAACCGTATCTAGGGATGTGCTTGCATCCTTAATATGGGTCTGTCGGGAGTGTCTCTAACAGACACGACAGGATCGAGTGCTGGATAAGAAATGTCAATCTGAAAACACTTTGACGCAAAGCTACTTCACTGACAAGCCCACTTAAGCTGTCTGTGCCGTGAAAGATGCAAAGGAAATCACAGACTTCCTGCTCCTTCTGACCCTTGTCATGAACTGGAGGACACTAACACAGTGGATAGCATGCTTAGAAACACACTGCCTAACATATACTGCTATAACTGTGGTTGTTTTAACATTTCTCAACAGAGGGGAATAGGAGAACAAGCAGGTCAAGAATGACTTGGAGGCAGAATGTGGCTCAAAGGACAGGCCTCAAACATTAAGTGCACTACATCTGGCAAACATATGTTGGGAGAACTGTTCTGGTAACTAGTGACCCAATAATACATGGAATTTATGTGTGACAAGGATGATGATGGTGAACATTGTTCAGCCTGAAAGGGATTTTTGATAACTGTGTTCATCTCTGGGGAATATAAAGATTAATCCCCTCCTCCCCCACGTTCACATCGTGACGGGGGCCTGGTGCAATAAGACATTTACATCCTGGTGTAGAAATGCAAGACAATGCGGAACAAATGCCAACGTAACGCTGGTGTATTGTACCGTCAAACTACACACGTTGCCTTACTGTATAGTGGAGGTGCAGTTGTAACAATAGTGGATTCTTTACAACCGTTTGCAGGGCTTTTCTCTTCCTCCCTGTTTTCTCCTGCTCCCCCCCCCCCTCCACCTTTCTCCTTCTTACCAAAATCAACACAACTCGCGTGCAACGAAATCGCTTGTAGTCTACTCTGCGCCCTGGTGTGTTGGGTTGATGACCGACGTTCACACCTTTAAGCCACCGGCATATTGTTTACCTAGCAACGACACCAGACCCTAGAGCTCAGCCCCCCCCCCCTCTTTAAAAAAAAAAAAAACCCATCCCCCAGTATTTTTGGGTGTTGAATTAGGAATCGACAACACAGCACTCGGAAAACTCCTATAAGCGCTCCGTCCCCATTTTCAGGAGCAACCAAAGAGTTCCAATTCCGATGGCACTAGTAACAGTCTGACTATATTTCCTCTCACGAGTGATGGATGAATAATTTGGGACCGTTATTCGGAAGAGTGCCTGAGTTTCCCTTGCCACAACCACTCCCTGACACACTTTATGATTTGCTACGCTGGTAATTGTTGTCTGTTCATGAATATACCACACAGGCATATATCGTTTTTTTTTTTTTTTTTGGGTTGTATTACTGCTATTGGGTTGTGTAGACATGGCGATTCCTACTATAACACAGAAAAAAGAAACAACACACTCACAGCTTCATACACATTCTAAAGTCGTGCTTTGTATATTTTGCCACGCCTTGGTTTGAGGTGTGAGCGCTTAGTGGATCTTGCTGTAGCTGATGACACACGGAGGTCGCCAACACGCACGTAGTTACCAACAATCTCAAGTGGTCAGCGCGATATTTTATTTGACTTGGACTTGGAACTCAGTGGTAGAGTTAATTCGTCACTGTGGTTGGAGTATGTTGAAACTATAGTTAGCATTTCCCCCTATCGATATGAATTTCTTGTATTGTTGAAATGAACAACTCATTTAGGTGATTAATCGTAATACGTTACTAGTTAGTTTACAATTTGAATACATCAAACTATCATTTGGTGTAACATTTTGCTGACCAGCGAGCCACTCGTGACAACTTAAGTAACATCATTCTCAGAGAAAACGATACTTTGTTGAGCAACAACAAAGGAAATGTATAACATCTACAACTTTTTATTAGTTACAATATTCATAGCAGGTAAGTCTAATACTAACGGATGATATGATTGATTCTTCTTTATTTCCTTGACGTAAATGTGGTTTATTTAAATGTCGGCTAAGCGCAAAATAGGATCCGCGGCAGTGCAGTGGCTCTGTGTTTGCTTTTCAGTGCGAATGTCTTCTTTTGAATAAGCCCATGGGCGGATTTTTTTAAAATAAGCAGTCAGGGACTTCCAAACAGAACACAGCCTAAAAATGGAACTAGGAAATGACGTGGGAAGTGAAAGCAGCTACTTGATGTTATCAGCTACCCTATCAATACTTTATTCCCTGACTGTCTGTATGGATGTGATAATATCAGGCCTAGTTCATCTTGGTTTTTTTTTAGAAGTGGCACCTAGAGACTTCCTACTCGTGCCAAATTGAAGAATCCACATCATCTTTTCAGGCCCAGATAGAGCAGTTCTACAATCTGGACATCAGGAAGGTGAAACAATAGGGATGGCTAGGTGTATTGCCTGGAGTGGCCTGTATTTTCCTTTCAGATTTTGATGTTAAGATACACCTTCCATATTTAGATCTCCAGACATTTGCTGTTTAGTAAAAACTTTGTTATTTTGGGCAGTTCTTAACATGATTTCTGGTTTCAACCCTAGATCACTTAGAATGGATCCTAAATATTAAAACAAGTCACTTTTTCCAGTTTGTGACCTTTAAAGTAAATTAGTTTATTTATACCAGCTGGACTAATTTTCCAAACTTAAGCCTTGTCTGGATTTATGCTTGGCAGATGTTTATCTGGTAGGTCTATGAGTTTAGCTGGCTCTTGTTCTTTCTGGCCAGAAGGTTAGTATCATCTGCAAACTTGTGTAGTAGTGTTTTTACTACTAAGGCTAATTTCCTCTGTTTGTCTCTTCTGTTGATAAACCTCATGAATTTAATTTATCTGTTCATGTTTGACCTCATAAAAACAGCAGCTGCCAGAACTTCAGTTTTTGTTTTCTTCTTAGTTCTCCAGATTCCCAACAGTTTCTTTAAAAACCACAACTTCACTTGCTCTAGATCCCCATGTGTATTCTGGGTCCCCATTTTGGAAGAAACAAAGAATATATCAACAGCTCTCCTAACATAAATTTTATAGAAGGTAACTAATTAGGGGTGTTTCCTTCCAATTCGAAGTGCACCTGTCTGAGATGCAAAGAACAAGCAACCTGCATACAAATAATCAGAACTGTAAAACATGTGTGCACACAAAACTTAGGTCCTGGAACAAAGCCCAAGTCCAGAAATGGAAGAACAAGCAGGACTTGTTTGCTGGAGTTAACAGCTGGTGAGTGTAAACAACAAACATCAACTGGCTCTAGTTTCTTCATATTTGTATTGTCCAGCATTTGATCCCACATCTATAGGAAATGACTTACGTTTCATTATAAAGTGTGTGTGCTGGTATGTAGCCATGGTGACACAGAAGCTGGCTTATTTACCTGCCGAGACAGAGATCAAGGTTCAATCGCCTGAAATGACATAATTTTCTTCTCTGACCAGTACATCTAAAAAGAAGGGGAACCAAACACTTTCCAGAGTTCTTTGAGGGTTGTCTGGGAAGGGAACATACCACCTTACCTCATACATCATGTTCTAGAATATGCAAAGGCCTAACGCATCACATCCGGACAGCACTATCTGTTAGGGGAGTATGTTTACCTTTACTATTACCTAAAAAAAAAAGCTGTGGCTATCTTCCAAATTATGGCAGCCAAAAACAGGGCCTCAGTCACATGGAAATTGCAGACTTCCGGCGACCTAAAATTGCAGACTTTCGGCAACTACCTCCACCACCAAGAGTATCTCCCGCACCGCTATGTGTGGCGCGGAGTGGGAGCTAAACTAGATGGCTGGGACTCACGAGCAAAGCTGCAGGAGATGCAGAAGCTGCTGCTCGTGAGTCCCAGCCATCTTGTTTAGCCCTCCGCCACACATAGCGGTGTGGGAGATACTCTCAGTGGTGGCGGTAGTCGCCAGAAGTCCACAATTTAAGTCGCAGGAAGTCCGCAATTCACATGTGACTGAGGCCCTGTCAGGGTGTGGACTTTATTCAGAGGATAGCCATAACATTAATTTATTTTATTTTATTTTGCTCTAAATTAAAAATCACAATAGAAACAGCAACTGCAAAACAAAACAAACAAATAAAATGTATAATTATGGCATCAAGAACAGTCTCAAATAAATTAAGAACAACTTATGCAGTGCACTAGAAAAAGCACACAAAAGATCCTTACATCCACCCTCTCCTAATATCTTAATGAGATAACTGTGGGAAGTGAAAAAGAAAAAGAAAAAAGAACAAGTAGGAGGAGGAATGGAGAAGGATAAGAAATTGAGGAGATGACGACTAGAGCAGAAGCCACTTTTGATATGTCAGCTCTAATTGTATCTTTATCTCTATAGTTTCCACTGTACTGATATTGATAATGAATTTTTAATATCTTCTGCTTCAGAATGTCAGGCACAGTGTGTGGGGACCACTTGTGATGAATGCATCTCATCCAGTTACAGCTGTGCATGGTGCACACAGAAGGTAGGCTGTTTGTTCTCTACAGTGTCATGTTCTGTGTAACTGTATTCAAATGACTAATGTCAGAACAAGGTGTTTGAAAAGTAATTATAAACATACGAACATTGACAATTTTTATATATGCTGTCTTATTATGTTTAATGTTCAATTAAGAATCAACATTACAGCTCTTGGGGCATTTCTAAAAATGCTCTATACCTATCTTCAGCAGCAAGGGCAGAATTCCATTCCATTGGTGTCTGTTGTCTGATTGTATATATATATCTATCTGTCTCATCTTTTCTTTAAGCGTTGAGCATCAGCAAGATTGCCTGGTCACTCCTTGCTTCTGCACTGTTCAGTCGCCCCCAAGGGCCCTTACAACATCTAGCTTGTTATGCATAAGTTCATCACCAAGTTTTGCATAACCAGCTAGTCTATCTTCTTATTCATTGCCCGATAACACCAGCATTTCTTGGAGAAAATATCTAAAGGACCCTGACTACCTGGGACCTTTGAAGCGCTGCTGTCTCCACTTTTCTCAACGTATGGTGTGTAAGCTGATTCTCAAGCCAATGGAAGGCTGCAGTGACTGCCTCCACTTCCATTCTCTAACTAGATGTGGTGTCATGTGCCAGGTTTTGAATAGATAATCACATCCTCTGGGCAAAAACTGTCATGAATCACTTCTAATTCTCCAGAGATATTTTTGTATCTTAGCCCTGCCTAAATGGACTCCTTTTCTTTATTTTTCTTGTTACTGAGACAGCTTGAGTTGGGTTGTTTCCACAAAGGCCACGACACTGTTGGAGCTCTTGAAGGTTTGGGGTCAAGGAGTGTTCAAGGAGTAGATTTCCATAATATCCTTTATAGTATCTCCTCTCTTTCCTCCTATGCAAAATACCACTTTAGGCTTTGCTTCTAGTACACAGCCATAAAGACCCCTAATTGAAACAATCTTAGTTGTTAGAATGATATATCTGGGATTTTTTACTGCTGAATTGATGTCTGGCTTGCTGTGCATTAAACCTTCATGTGGCAGCCCACAAGAAAAAGAACCAGTAATCAATCAGTCAGACGCTATTATTATTGTTGTTGTTATTATTTTACAAAGAAGGCACAAACTGCAGACCGCACAGTTTATTGTCTGGCATATTTTGCTATTTCTCGTCAAGTACATCTATCTACGAGGGACGGTTCAAAAAAAAAAAAAAAAAAAAAGTAATGCCTCCTATATTTTATCTACTTAAATAAAATACTGCATTAGTTTGTAATTTGTAAATTAAGCAGGATTACTCAAACATTCTTATGTGTACTATACAGCATTACCAACCTGATTCAGTTATAGGTGGCACCACGGTAATGGTTTCAAAATAGCTTCCAAAGATGTTTTTTTCAAACAACGTAATATCATAGAATTCATCATTGCTGAAGGTGAGACCATAATTCACATCCATGAACATTTGAAGAATGTTTTTGTAGATTAAACAGTGGATTAGTGCACTGTCTGACACTTGATACATTATTGTGGTGAAGCTGAATTAGGCCAGTCCTCAATGGCTGACACAAAACAGACTGGCCGTCCGTCCTTTACAGTTTTACTGCACACAACATTCATCAAGTTGATGACATCATTTGTCCTGAACTTCAGGTAGCACTGGATACACTATTCCATGTTGTTTGTTAGTAAAGGCCATAATAAAAAAATTAAAAACAGTTAGCTGTTTATCCTTTACATGATACTGCAGAACATAACCAAACATTTTTTTTTTGGTTGTTGTGGGTTTTCTAAGCAAATTTTATATTTAGTAGTTTGTCATTGTTTTCTGAACAGTCAACTCTTGGTGCCACTATCGAAAACAATGCAAGACAAACTGTCCACAGCTGGGATTGATCTCGGCATACTGGCATTACGAAGCACATTCAAAACATTTCAGCCAAAGAAGCCGACCATTAAAGCTCTTGTTATTTAGGGATTTGTGCACAGTGGGTACCCAGAATATTGAAAGACATATATAAAGAAACAAAGAAAACCACAACCATTAACTTCCTGCACCATTAGGAAACTAAAGGAGAGGAGTTTTTATCAAATATTGTGACAGGTGATAAGACAGGTTCACACAGTTTAACACTGAAGTAAATAATTCCACAATTTATTGTTGTTCGTCTGTAAATTAATAGTAATGCTGAAGGTTACCTGAGGGGGAAAAAAAGGAGGGGGGGGGGAGGGTGTAAAATAAATGACTTTACAGGTGTGTCATATTATTTTCTAAATAAGGCTCTGATCCTGTATTTAGGCTACATTAATAGTTTAAAAAATTAAGCAAATAAATTAGTCCTTTCATTTGCAGTACAGAATTCAGCACACTACAATGACTGTTTAACCAGGGCAAACACAAGTTCACAACCATGTCGTTTTATCTACACAAATCTGCATGAACATGTTTTATCAGGATGGCCTTTGCAAACTTAAACAGTCTACAGTGAGATCATGCATAATCCATCACACGTCTCCTTTTGAACTCTGGCCACACAGTTGATAATATGGACAAATCATTCCAAATTCTGTATGCATTAAAAAGTGATTGACTCAACATCATCATGTAGTGAGTCCTTCGCAGAACATTGCTCTCATCACAGTCTGCCTGAAAGAAACTGGGTCTCTAGTCATATCTCCCACCTGATGCACTGTCCTACCCAAGGTGTCACTTATATCCTGTGATGATCTATCTTCACACTGGTCTGCCCTAGTCCTCTTCCTGGCACCATGCCATCTGATTCTATTCTTTTCAGTTCAGCTAATATTTCAGTCTGCATAACAAGATGCTGTTTACTAGCTGATCTTCCTTGATGTTCAGATCTTTTTGGGTGTCAGTGTTTTTCTTTTTTTTTTGTCCATGTTATCTTGAGAATCTTTCTCATGCATTTCGGTTCAACAGCCCTCATTTTCTGAACTATTCCTCTACTTCTTCTTCTTCTGCTTTTTCACTTTGTACCTCATTGAAATGTTGGAGGGAGATCTAACATTAGTTGATAAGCTTTGTCAAGAGCACTATTGAGACTGATGTTCATTTCTGTAAGGCTGTTCTTAATGCCATCACTCCATATTTTCTGAGGTCTTCCACTCGCTCTGTACTCGTTTTTCTGAACTATACCATTGTCAACATTAACACAGAGTAGTCTATTAAATTACAAGTAGCTAATTTTGAAATTGCTTATGTTAGCATTATGAACATCCGTATATACCCTAAGCTACAGAATAATTCATTCATTATCCTATTTTGCCATTATAAGTCACATAGGGCACACAGTCTATTCCTCCATTCTGTTCTATCATGTGCAATTAATTCAATATCATCGGTGGAATCCAATCCAGCAGCTTTAGCCTCTCTTGTTAGCGTTTCTCTTAGGGTTTCTTTTGGGTTAAGCTACAGATGCCAGCCTTAAAACAAATATTCACATTGATTTTGACTTGCATGCTAACATGTCTTCTGCTTTCTTTGCATGTATTTTTATGCAGATTTGCTTTTTGGCATGCTAAAGCTGGTTTTCACAATTGTTTACTTCTTTATTTCAGACTTTTACAGGACCTCGATGTCAGCCAAGAGGTGCCTTAGTAGCATCTGAATGTGAGACCAGATACATTGAGAACCCAGAATCTCAACAAAGAGTTGTAGAGGTCTGCTTTCATTATAGTATAGTTTTGAATCACACCATCTTTTCTGCCGTATTGTGTGTGACTTTCTTTGACCTTCATCTCTTCCCCCACCCCCTGCCGACTCCTGCATTCTATCTCCACATTTAGTGTCGTTAAAAACTGTTTATGAGTAGAGGACCCTTTTCATACCTGTGGTACAAGCTGGATGTTGTGAGGGTCCCTTGGAGCGAGTGAACAGTGCAGAGGAACAGATAGATCATTATGGTCTGAGGGGAATGGCACTGTGAGGAGTTACAAGGTGATCTGGCCGACGCTCGACACTCAGGGGAAAGGCGAGATGGATACACAATCAGACAGTTACTGGTTCCTTTGGAATTTTAACTCTTCGCTTGCTGCTGGAGATGGGGACAGAGCACTTATGGGGGGTGTCCCGAGTGCTGTGATGTAGATTCTTAATTCAACATTCATACCTGTGGCACATTAGACTTTTAGTGCTACATCTGTATCTGTACTGATCAATCAGTGGGTGTTGTGGTCAACATCATGGCAACCACCTGTTTGGTTTTGCATACATACCTTGTCAACAAAATGTTCATTGAGTGTAGGCACTCAGAAAATTCACTCCAAGGCATGCAATACTTTCTTGGAATTCCAGAGAAATTTGACTAAAAAGCTCAACAAAATGGGGAAGCAGAAAAATTTGAACACAACAACACAACGTAACGTTTCGGCCCGGCAGCCTTTTTCAAACATAAGTGAACTACACAAAATACTTTCTTGACTCCCACAATATTATTCAGTATCTTCATCCAACTAATCAGCAGTTTTTTTTAATTCAGTATTTATTTTTTAAACAATCAGTTGATTGACTTACTCTCTATTTTTTTTTAACACATATAATCAAATACAGTATGCAACTTTTATTCCTCGTAGTTTTTTTTTTTTTAATATTTATTTATTTTCTTGCTAAATTAAGTATGAAGTTGCCTGTGTGGATTCTGGGTCCTCATTGTGGGGAAAACAAGAACATACCCACTGCCTCCCCAACAAGCATATTGTAGGAGTCATTTATTTGGCTGACATTCTTCAAGTTGGAGTGTATGTACCTAAGAGGCAAGGAACCATAAGTCTGCATGCATATAAGCTGGACCTGTGAAATGAATGTGCATGCAACACTCAGGTTCTAGAATAATACTAAAGTCCAGAGGTGGATGAACAACCAGAACTTTCTGCCAGAATTTACAGCCAGTGAACACAAAGAAGAAAATAATTCCAATTATTTCAGACATTTTTGTTACACCACACATTTTTTCTTCCCAGTCATTCCACAAAACTCACCTTCCTTTTAAGAGAACGCACACTGATTTTCATGCAAACAATTAAAAAGCTGTTTTCTTGTTCTCTTAACTAAATAACTGATAGTTAAAGGAGTTGGACAAAGTGCAAAATCAAGCACTCAGAGTCATCACAGGAGGGATGAAATCAACCCCCATTTTAGAAATGGAGAAAGCTGGGAAAACACAGGCACTGAGAGAACACAGAGATACAAAGTTGCAAATACAAGCTGAAAAGTTCCTCAGTATACCAGATCACCCCATGAAAAATAGATTTCAGAACCTAGCCTTGGGACTGTTAAATAGAAGCAGCTTTATACATCAAGCAAAAAGAATATGTAGACAAACTGCTGACCTTCCAGAAATTGGTTGTCCACTTAACAGTATTCCAGAACAAACCCCATGGAGAGAGAAATGCAAACTAACAGAACAAATCCTGACAAATGTGAAAGGAATATTTGACAAAAAAGAACAAGATAGTGTACAACACAGAATGGCCACCCTCAGTTATATTGATGAAGAATACCCACAAGAACAAGGGGTCAGAGTCTATACAGATGGGTCCTCAGAAAGTGCAATTAGAAATGGTGATGCTGGAATGTACATAGAATTCCCAGATGGTACTAGGGATAAGTCCAGCGTACCAACCAGAAAGTACTGCCATAAATATGATGCAGAAACTCAGGCTATCAAGATAGCAACAGAGAAACTGCTAAATACCAATCTTGGCTCCCAGTATGTAGTAATGCTGACAAATGCAAAATCAGTACTTGAAGCACTCCAGTTTAGGAAACTACCAGAATTGCAAGCACTGCTGACACAACTTAGCCTTCAGCAAAGAGTTGTAATGCAGTGGATACCATCACATTGTGGAGTGCCTGGAAATGAGAAAGCTGATCAACTGGCAGGAGAAAGTGCGACAAAACTGCAGCCGGATGTAGCAGTCACATACCACCAAAAGAAAAGAATCATTAAATCAATCAGGATACCACCAGCCCCAGCACAAGACGACTATTTTATTTTGGACAGATCAAAACAAGTCATTATCCTCCGCCTCAGAACAGGGCACAACTGATTACGTAACCACATGTACACGAAATTCAAGATAGGCGTATCAGCCATGTGCACCTGTGGAAAGGTGCCCCAGACAGCAGAGCATGTACTCCAGGACTGCACCGAATTTGACACATTAAGGCAAACCTTTTGGCCAGAAAGAACAACAGTGGAACGTAAACTCTATGGACCACTGAATGAATTAACAACAACAGTGAAATTTATACAAGAGACAAAATTGCTGATATAGGCAACTTATTTCAGGTGAACGAAAGAAGAAGAAGAAGATAACTGATAGTAGTATTAATTTAAACAAAATCCTGTTCAACCCACCTGGGTTATAATTTTTGGTATATTTTCTTTTTTCTTTTTCAGTAATGAATATTTATGCCTACCAATTTTGTTTTGCTATGAAGTATTTCATAGCTTATGTATTAATTGTATACTATTGTAAGAGTATAGATTATGACATTCAATATATTTTAAATGTTCTTTCAAACAGTTATAGTAATTATATTGTGTAGTCTATATTGTGTGGATAATTAAAGTTATCTGGGGTACGATTATTCTGCCTCAAGGTATATTACTATCTCATATTCTAACCCCTGTTCTTGTGGTATACCGTTTAATCCTTCCCTGTAGTTCTTTAGAGCCATCTACTCCAAGCATGTTTTCAGTTGACACAGGCTTACTGCAGCGGACCAAATATTCATTTAGGGGAGTCCATATTTCTTGAAGTATAGTAAATAGTGTTTGGTATTATGCACCTGACAAAATGACTGATTATTATTTGTTATTGTTATTCATTCTATGAATTTTTCATTTACCAGGATGAACATGTGAGAGACGGCAATGGACTTAATCTCAATGCTGTTCAAATACAGCCTCAGAGAGTTCGTATAACTACCAGATCAAGTAGGAATTCTTTTTTTTTTTGTTTGTCTGGAATATTGTTAAATTGTTCTTTCTACTTCTAAACATGAAAGATAATCTCACAGCGGAAACTGCCATTGTGGTCTAAAGAAGAACTGAGAATCTGAACATAAAATTGTGGGCTCTGTTTTTCTTATGTTTTTGAATCACAGCAATTTTTTGTGTGGCTGTATTGTCTGTCAATGAGAATTTTCTACACCTTTAATTTTTTTTTTTTCTTACCTTTTTTTATCTTGTATTTATCCTTATTAGTATTTGAAACAATGGAGTCAAGGAACTTGTTCAAACTTTTAGTGCATTGTGCATATAGTGTTAGATCTATATTTTACCAATTCTAGACCCTGGTTTATGAGCTCATGTGTCCAGTTTGTTTCTTCTTCACCTTTTCTTTCCAGGCAGTTCATAAATGTATGAGCAATTACCTCATACCCACTTTTGTGTAACTGGATTGACCTCAATGTCATTGTGGTCACAACAGGACCTACCACTTCTGGGGACTAAGTTCAGACTACTGTATTGTTTTTTAATTTTTTTTTTTTTTTAAAGTACCTTGTCTTGTGGCATCAGGGGCGGCATTCTGGGGTGAAATAAAAATAAACCCACTGCTGCCTTAACAGGCATCCCTTAAAGTGGGACTTATTAACTCTTTAAGTCCCAGGAAGTTTAGCATCAGAGGCCCAAGGGGTGGTAATGCAATTTTTTTTAAATTTCACAAGTATAACTCATAAAACAGACCATACTAATTCAATTGCTGCACAGCGTACACATATTATACATCAAAATGACCAGTGATTGTTGAAGAATAATTATAGATAGAATACAGCTACAACAAATAATTGCGTTAATACATAAAAAATGGTATGTTTACAAAAATTAGTAAATGAAATATAAAAAAATTCCACTTACCATCATGGCATTTAAGGAAAACTGGTTATATTAAAATCTAAAATGAATCACAAATGAATATGAACCACTTAGTAATGTATAAGTAAAATATAAATTCAGTCTATTCGTAAGATATTGTTCCAAAGAATCTTTTGAAGCATCATAACAGAGCATCATTATTTGATAAAGAAAACTGACTCTCAAAACAATAAGTATCTTCACACAAAATGAAGTTTATATAACACTCAGTTTGCCTGTAATTTTGTAGCTGTTTCTAAATAATAAGGGGACTAGCACTAGAACTAGCTGATGCTGAAGAAAATCGTCTTTTCACTAATGTTAGTTATATTTGTGCCAGCTGACTTTGCGTGAGGTACACATTAGACATATCCCTCACAAAAGTTTGACCCTATAAATAACTGAAATACGTCTAATTCACAACGTTATCTACTGACTTCAGATAAATTGAATAAACCCCAACTGTATTTAAATTTGAGACTTCTAAAGCCGTAAATCATGTTGGCATGCATGTAGAATACTGCTTGGTGGCCATATTCTTTTCAACACAAATGCTTAGTAACTCAGTCAATCTTGCAAATATACTATATTTTCATCTTTTAGACCACATTTTAAAATTAGCACGCCTGACATCAGACACAAAGAACTCATTAGGAAGCTGAAATTGAGCGGTCCGTGTTTCGTGACCCTTCAGTGGTAAATTAAAAACCTTTGCTTGTCACGTGTCGATTGGACCAGACAGTTGTAACAAATTAGCATGTGATGCGTTCCCTGGGACTTAAAGAGTTAAAGGTTTGCTGAAAATGGATGTATTAGGCTGAAAGGTGCAGATATCATGGTGGAGCTGTAAACCACAACACATCATGCCCACCACCAATTACATGACAAAAAGCAGAAGAAGAAGAATTGCCTGATCTGGAGCAGATAAGGGCCACCCTCACTCTTCTAATCTATTTTCTTATAGTTTCATCATCATCATCATGAACAACTTCTGCCGTTAAGCGTCATGGGGAGGAATAATTAATAGTTTAATTAAATTAAACATGCTTATGTCATTATGTTTTTCCAATCTGTTACAGTCTTCCACATACTGATTCTCTGATTTCTGATTATCTCGCTAATACTTGTCTAGCATAAAGTTATCTTCTGTATTTCCTATAATTTGTTGATGTTTAGATATGTTATACTTCCTAACTGCTCATAATTGCTCTTGTTAATTTTTGTTTGGTTTCTCAGCATGCCTTCCTCCTTTCATATTTTTATTTACTAGAATGAGTGTGTTGTTATATTATTTATCATGTGCTTTAGTTGCAATTGTTCTTTAGCTGAGTGGTTTTTTTATTTGTTATTGTTGATAATGTTCTTTGTGAAAAAATGTGTTTGTGTCCCTGTGTCTTTCCTTTTGATGAGCTTTTTAGTCATTTTTAAAAATTGTGAGAATTAGAAAAATAAATAAATGGGAAAGAATGAAATAAAGAATTGAAGGAAAGAGAGAGAGAAAAAAAGAAAGAAATTGGTTAACTTCTAATTACTTTCTAATCGCACATATAACAATAAACTTTAATGTTTCTGAATTCCCTTTTAAGGAAAAGATTACAAATTTACCATGACATTCCGAGCCGCCAACAATTTCCCTGTCGACCTGTACTTTTTGTTTGATAATTCCTACTCAATGGCAAACCATATTAAGGATCTGGCCAAACTCGCAAATGACATTGGTAAGTAGACAATGTGGCATGAAATATTTTTAAAATCTTTATAAGTTAGACAAACATACTGTAGATTAGCAAGACAATTAGTTAGTTAATTAGTTGAGTTGAGTTAAGTCAAGAATTGACATCACGGCACTTGGGGCATTTCCATGTGTGCTCCATCCTCATCTTCAGCAGCCAGTGCAGAATTCCAGTATTAATGGTACCGGTCACAAACTGGTTATATGTCCATCTTGCCTTTCCCTTGAGTGTAGTGAGCCAGCCAGACCCCCTGATTAGGCCCAGGTGCCTAATTCTCTCCAGCCCTAATAATATTGTTTAACTTTTGACTCCGCTGCTTGTTCCCAAAGGGCCCTGACCACATCAGTTAGTTAGCTAATCGAGATATCTAAAGATGATCCTCACTGCATGTCGGGCAAGTCCATCAGAACTCCGATCCCATCTTCAGTATATCCCCCAGCATATGGCCACTGATAACACCATTCTAGTGTTGGTTTACTATTCTTCTATGGGTACCTGTATAGTGTTCATGTTTGGCGGCATCTCTTTTGACCTGCATTTCATGTAGTCTTTTGAATGTTGCCAATTCAAGGTCGTCTCCTGAATCAACATCTCGTCCATCCTCCTTGAGAGCATTGAGAATGTCAGCCCAATCAATTGCTTTTCCTGAACCCACTGTGGCCCTGCTAGCAAGCCAGTCAGCTTGTTCATTCCCTCTTGCCTTAGAGTGTCCCGGGACAACAATGAAACTAATTTCTTTTCAGACGAGATTTCATCAGCGACTCTAACCATGTTCTTCAAATCCATCCTGTCTCTTATCTTCTTAAGCATGCTCATGGAATCACTTAGAAAGCACACATGTGAAAAATGATGTGTTTTTAGCCATAGCATGGCTTTTGTTACCGCCATTACCTCCATATTTAGACTACTTGCAGTCGAGGCAAAAGCCCTGCTATCTTCTTTTATAGTTTTTTCTTCAGCCAGAACCGTAAAGCCTATGAACTTTGTACGTGTCGAATGATGAATCCGTCAGTGTAGATAACTGCACCTGTCCGCATAATTTGCAAGAATTAGGGCTTGCAACTTTTGCCTCAACCACCAATGGGTCTTGTTATCTGCACTTTCTATCCAGTTTTATGTGGACTGAAAAGGATGTATTCCACTCTGCTGGCACTCGTATTCATTCCTTTGCAGGTTCTATGTCCTCAGTTGGATAAACCTGTTGAATAATGTCCTCAGCCTGACCCACCCAGGATTTTCCTGGTTTCAATCCACTATCCTTCCTGTAAATACCACTGTGCAATGGATAATGTGTATTAGCACTGATACACAGATATACTTGTGCTCGACAGATCACAGTTCTCACTTCCATGGCTGGAAGATCAAGGAGGTAACTCATCGCTCTGTATTTTTTGTGCCTCCAAGTATGATGCACATGGCCTTATTCTGTATCTGATCTAGTCTCTCTGTCTGTGTATGGCTTAGAGTCAGAATCACAAGAACGTACTCAGTTACAGAAAGGATCAGATCCTTGTATAAGAAAAGTAAGTGATATTGCTCACAGTGGTCATGGCCATAATCCTTAGCGCCATCGAACCTCCCTTTGCCTTCATTATCACGGGTTGACATGCTCATTAAAAGCAAGACTAATATCAAAATACATTCCAAAATGAGTTCTGTCCACGATTTCAGAACACAGACTTACAGCTGGTGTTGGTGTCTTTACAATATGATTATTCAGAGAAAACCATGTCACAACTGACTTTGACACATTGACGACTGCTCTGCCTTCATCGCACCACCTGCTTATCCGGTCAAGTTCTGTCTGAATGTTCTTGACAACCTGCACCTGGTGTCTACACTTGATGGTACACCAAAATGTCATCAGCATATGACAGTGTCGTTCCTTGTTTGTGTGGTGTCCTCTTTGTCCCTTTCTCCACAGGTGTTGCCCCCAGAGTACCCCCTTTGGGGCAGCCCTGTGTGGAACGGTTAGCCCTCAAGGGAAGGCAGGGGCAGATCATGTGCATTTCCCATCATCCAAAGAGGCTTCCATAAATGCAGAGCCGACACATAATGCTCTGGTTCTGGGCTTACCCAAGGAATCGTCACGTCCTGCACATGACTGCTTAACCTCACAACTGTTTTAGGCTTCCCGCTCGACACGGGCTGCACCCTCCGAAGATCAGCAGGGAGCAGCCCGTGGGTTCTGGACTTTTGTGACCACACGAATAGGTACATTCTTTTGCATCTCACTATTGTCATCTTTAAACGTGCTGTTAGCACGACAGTATGGAGAATTCTGCGTCAGGCATGTCTTTATCTGTTTGGACCCAACACTCGGGCGAGTGGTTTCTCGGAATGTGGACATTTGGACTTTTTCCCAATCAATTCAATTTATGATGGTCAGATTTTGAGCTTGCTCGTGTGCCGTAGGATCTATTTTTGTCTGAATTTTTGGCTTAACCAGCCGATGGATGGTGGCTCTCATGGTGTACCTCAGTGCGGTGGCGACGACACTGAGGGTTGACATAGGATGTACATGGGTAGAATCTTGCTGCGAGATGCCACCCACAAGGGATGTTACTCGCCTGTGCTGCAGGTAAATCTCTAGGTCAAGGGTTGAGTCTCAGTAGCACATATGTTCTCTTCACTCCATCATGCAGAACCCGCCCACTTCTCATTTTTAGCAATTTTAGCCAGAATTTTGAAACAGGCAGTCTTCTCATGCATGACTTGTTTAACAGAGGAATGCAGTCAGACAGAGCAGTTCTACATTTTTTCTCATGTTGCCACTGCTTGATGGCTAACTGCTTATCTGTCAAAGCTTTCTACACCTTGTCATATCCAGTTTTTCCCCCTGAAAGGTGTGTGTTTCATGCTTCTTACGCTGGATTGCACTCAAGACATCTTGCCCTGTAGTGTCATACCTAAAGGTCTGGACCTTGTGCTTATGTTTCCTTGACCTGTCTTTCTTCACAAGTATGCAACAGGGAAGATGATCACTGTTATGCCATCCTAGGACAATCCATCGAGAGCCAGGCAGGAGTGGAGGCCATACCAATCGATGCGTGCAAGGTTCGCTGGAGGAGTTGTAGATAGCCTGATGTCTCGCACACTTGCCAAGAGTCTAGAAGGTCACTCAATGATGTCAGTCTTACCAGACTCAACTCCCGCTCAACGATAACACATAACCCCAAACATGGGTCCACTGACAAAGTCCACACTATATTCAGATATCATAAAAACGGATTGCATCACAAGACACGCTTAATACAGTAATACAGTCATTCCTTCTCCTACATAGGAATACATACAAAGCGTTGCTCAGGAGGACTTCTCCTGTCACACTATGTCCAGTGGTTGTTTTGGGCAATCAGTACCCGATCGCACAAATCCACTTTCTTGACTAACATGCCTGTCATTCCAATGACTCCTATATGTTGAGGCCACTGTCGCTAGAGACCATCCAGGCCAACGCACATCTTTGTGAAAACTATCCAGACCTCTCGTCTGTGGCATGTCACGTACCTTGGGGATCCCTCACACTGGAAACCAGTTATTGCGGCAGCACCCTTAAGCAACACGAACAATGTATTCTGTTACCCAGTGTGACATATAGTGCACAAGTCTAGCCTGGCAACACCTAGACTAGAACATACATTTACACGACCTTCTTCTCCAAAGTTGTAGAGCCAACGTTCTCTCTCTCTTTTTACCTCCCGTTTAATCTTGTTCTGCACCTCTCCAAGTTTTACTTTCATTAATGAACTTCCATTTCACCTAACTGTTTGAAGCTGTAGCTCATCACTGTCTCATCGAGACATGTCTACAGAGATATAGACATAGATTAGCAAGCTATGGTTAAATATAAGTTAGACATACAACATACAATTGATGAATTAAAGGTAAACTCTTGAGACAAATGGAGTAGTATCCTAAGAGGTGAGCTTAAAATAAAAATAAAAATACTCTTTGCTGTTTGTAGGGCAATGTAGGACAGGGTCAGTTTCATATTCATGCTAGAGCTCACAGATGTGCAAGGAAATGGGCAAGCTGATAGGCTAGTAGGTAAAGTTAACTATGGCGGGCTGATGAGCAATTGACCAGACCGATATTCTGAATGCTGTACAAGAAGCAAGATATTTGCAAGAACCAAGTGATCACTGTGAATCTGCAGCCGTGACCAGACTGCAAGAACAACATGTTAAAAAGGGTGTGGCCAAACATGTGCACCATACAGAAAGCCAAAAACAAATCAAAGCAGAACTAGTGTCGTCAGTTGCTACATGCTGTGGGGTTTACTGAGGAGGGAATCCAAACACTTATGGACCGAATTATGTGCAGTGAGGATAATCTATTGACTAATTAATTAACTAGGACATGGTTTTCATATGAACCCGAGGGTTTAAGGCCACATGGCTAGTGTAATTGTCATAAACTGCGCAGGCTAGGATTTTTTTTTTCTCACTCCACCAGAATAAATTTCCAACCATTACTGAGGATTGAAACAAGGTACCCTGCATGAGAACCCAGTGCTCTAACTACCTGGAGGACTGAGCACACATGGGAATTCCCATTGTGCAGTGACGTCGATTGTGATAACATAACATAACTTGAAAAGCTTTGAAAAAAGCAGCAGTTAAAACAAATCAGTAATTGCACACAGAGCTAGTTGCATAAGTTCTGTGGCAGCAAGCCACTCTCCATTTTATGAATCTACAGGTCACAACTCAAATCACATATAGCACAGTAGAAAAGCATTCCAAAAGAAATCCACAGCTCATAGAATCACATCATGCACTCAGTTCAGTAGCTGGGAGATTAACTACATACTTTCAGTCCAGATATAGAGAAAAAATACAATGTCTATCCAATATCAGAATCAAATAATTTGCCACATCTAAATACTAGATTAGTTTATAGATGAGATTGCAACCTTAAAGACTACTAGACTACTGAATGCCCACGCAGCACGTGCAAGGCACGTCCTTTCATTGTCCAGACTTCTTCAGTCAGTTTACCTTATGGTTCTTTCCAAATTAGGGAACCTTTTACTTGTGAATCCCGCAACGTAACTTATGCAATTATCTGCAAACAATGCATCAAGGCATACATTGGGGAAACTGGCAGGAAGCTAGCTGACCATTTCCGGGAACACCTCTCCGATATTGACAAGAAGACAATTAAACCAATCCCTCTCCATTTTAATAGATCTGACCACAGAGGTAAAGATGATATATATGTCACTGCATTAAAATATTGCTCTGGTGATCATACTATGCGCCTCGCTTTGGAAAATCGCCTCATCCACAGCCTTAGTCCAGGTGGTATCAATATCCAATATACCTTCATCTAAATAGTTCTACTCTCATCACATTTTAAATGTTAATTCTTTTCTTTTGTTTTCTTTTATTTCATATTATTACTTTATTCTGTCTCTTATCAGTATCATTTATGTATCATTAACATTTGTATTTTTTTAATTCCCAGTATTATATTATATATTAACAACACTACTGTTTATTTTTTTGTGACTATTTTTTAGCCATTGTTTATTTTATTTTATTTCATTTATTCCACATCACATTTTTTTAAAGGTTGCTCACGTCATCCCTTAGAGATCTACATACTCTCCTCTCCTCGTTGTTACGTTTGTGTTCACTTATGTTTGAAAAAGGCTGCCCGGTCGAAACATCACATTGTGTTGTTTTGTGCACGTTTTTCTGCTTCCCCATTTTGTAGAGCTTTTTAGTCTAATTTCTCTGGAATTCCTTAAAACAATCATCTTGGCATACCCTATTTTAGACCGGAACTCATTCTAGAAGAATTCAAGGCTCTCCTTTAAATAACGGTCGCTAGCTGGAAGGTGACGGTCGCTTAGTCGGAGTTCACTCCCTTGGCTGCAGTGCAAATACGGAGTGGTAAAGAGGGAATGAAACAAATGATATAGTTAGCCCTAGGATTAGGGCTCTGGTTAGGATATGGGGTAGGGTTAGGGTGTGGGGTAGGGTTTGGGGTAGGAGTAGGATTAGGGGTAGGGTTAGGGTGACACATCACGGAAACGACGGAAGCTTATCGCTCATTACAACATACATATCCGCAGGTCTCACATCTACGGTCACTAAGTCGTGCGTCGAAAGACCGCAGTGGCTACTGTCAGTCGCAGCGCGTGGTCTAGCTCTAGCAGGCATGTCGATCTCACTTTGTGTTTTGATTCGTGACTTGTCCGCTCCGTATTTGCACTGCAGTCAAGGGAGTGAACTCCGACTAAGCGGATGTCGCCTTCCAGCTAGCGACCGTTATTTAAAGGAGAGCCGAATTCAAACACAGGGTTAATTTTTAAAAATCTGTTGGCGATAGAAAAGAGCAATAACATCATGTCAACTTTGGGATGACCAACAACATCGTGTCAACTTTTAAATGATTGACAGTATCATGACAACTTTGGAATGACCAAGAAACATTTGATGACTTATTTGATACTAGAAGAGTGACAAGGATTCTGACAAAATGTAAGGAAAATAGAGCATTTTAAAATAAAGCAAACTACAAAAGAAGAGCGTGAAGCTATAAGAATTATAAACAAGGAAATGGTATATGTTAAAATTGCCCATACACCACCTCTAAGAAGTGGATTGGAATTTTTGCTTAGTTAGTACTGCAGTGGTCTCCAAACTTTTTCAGGTTGACCCCTTTTGAATATGTGGTGAGACCCCCCCCCCCCCCCCCCCTTGAGTATTTGGCAAGATCCCCACCCCCCCCCCCCCCCCCCACCCTTGAATTTATTGCAAGACCTCCCACAACCCCCTCCTTTGAGTATATAACAAAACCCCCCCTCTCCCACCCACCTCAACAAATATGTAAATAAAAAAGAGGAGGAAAGAAGGTTCTGCAATATGAGAAACAAACAGTATGGATATATATTTTGGTAAAATGTGTTTTTAATCTATAATTAAATGTCTGTGTCATTGTATTTTCATATTACGTATATTTTTAACTATACATACATACATAATACATACTCTCATACATACATACTCTCATACATACATACTCTCATACATACATACTCTCATACATACATACTCTCATACATACATACATACATACATACATACATACATACATACATACATACATACATACATACATACATACCTACCTACCTACCTACCTACCTACCTGCCTGCCTGCCTGCCTGCCTGCCTGCCTGCCTGCCTGCCTGCTTGCCTGCCTACCTGCCTGCCTACCCACCTACCTACCTACCCACCTACCTACCCACCTACCTACTTACATACATACACACACACACACACACACACACACACACACACACACACACACACATATATATATATATATATATATATATATATATATATATATACACACACACATATACACACACACATACATACACACACACACACACACATACACACACTCACATATATATATATATATATACATGTGTGTGTTAATATATAAACTGCTTTTAAAAAGAAACCCAAAAAATGTCCTCAGTTTTCTGATTATAAATAGTTTCAAAATTATTTTATTAACTCTTTGAGTCCCAGGGAACGCATCATACGTTCATAGGTTCTTACCTAGAAGCTCATTGAATGCATGACATGTCGAATTTAGTCTCTCTTTACTAGCCATTGGGCCTGTGATGCTAAACCGCCTGGGACTCAAAGAGTTAATAATAAAACTGAAAAAAATTACAGCAAATTATTTCAAACACAAATGCATGCTATTTGAAAATTACTTGACGCTTCCCTTGAAACCACCTCCCCCTGGCTAGAGACCGCTGCTTTGCAGGATGTAGTCTTCAGACTGAAAGTCTCTATAATCATGTATTGTTCCGATTCTTCAGGAAAATCAATTGGCGATATATCCAGCAACTATCTCATGGGATATGGTGTGTTTCAAGATAAAGTAATTTTGCCTTTCACAGATACTTCTCCACCAAGGTATTATTTGTTTGTAAATAGGTGTGGTTTGTAATTAAACAGTCCCCGTGTGGGTTCCCCCCCCCCCCCCCCCCCCCCAAAATGCCACAGGCATTTAAAATCTGGCCTGTGCTCTTTAACGTCTATACAAACAAGATTGCAAACCTAGAAGCAACAGGAGTTGGAAGGAAACTGATAATTGCAGATGACATACTCACATATAGACAATTAGGAGAGTGGGGAAAAAACAGCCCAGGTGCTACTGGCAACAGCAAAGTGTTGACTGGTGTACAGAAATAAGTGTTGTCATCTACCAATAAAAGGTGTATGTTTTGTGGTGTTTTCTAGACAACAGGATCTTAGAGCTAATGTCCCAGGACTCAAGATAAATGGTAAAAACGTCAACAGAGAGAGCAAATTGAAGAATTTGGGAATCACATTTGACAGGAACCTGTCTTTTAAGGACCATATGGAGATAGTTGGGATAAGATTCAGATCTTTTCAGTGATTGATTATGGACTAGGACTGCTTACTGTCTCAAAGTATCAGATGGTTTAACTAGAGCGCATTCAGATCGCAGCTATGCGGGTTATTCTGGGTTGTACCAGAGACACCCCAGTGGTGAGTGTGCAATACCTCTTTGGTTTGCTGACTGTTGCACGTAAGCTCAGGATGCTGCAGACAAAGTTTTATCTCAAGGTAGCTGCAGACACAGATCACCCTTTGCCAGCAGAAGACTGGTTTGCAACTCAGAGAACATTAGGAGAAGAGTGGGTCAGAGTGCCAATGGCATACAGTCAGATTTGTGTAGAGTCATGATCACGTTGAGCCCAGAATGCAGAGAGTGGCCAGCAGGTGCCACATAGGAAGAAATTCAGATATTAATTCCAGATAATGCTCGCTCAGAGAATACGATTATTTAAGCAGACAGTTTAGTGTCAAGAGGCAAAAGAATTGCTTGGGGGTTCTTAGCGAAATCTAATGGTCAATGTTTGGTGCAGGAGAGGCTCGCATATGATACCATACGGGAGGAAGGCGGGTGTTCGCGCAGTGGATAGGAGATTTTCTTTCAAATCCAGCTGCACGGCCAGTGTTAGAAACCAAGTAGTTCCTGGGGTTCACCCAGCCTCTAGGTAATGAGTACCATAGTTAATACTCTGATGTAAATGGAGGAACATCGCTGTAGCTACGGAGTTGCGTTCAGACGGCAACACAGGCGGACAATTTCTTATCAGCTGTCTGTACTGGTGGCAGAGCACTTAATGGTTCATAAACGTGTTCAGTGACACTGGTTCCCATTGCCTGACTTTCGCTATATGATACCACAACATCCAGCTTAACATTCATAAGCATGCACACACGTCCATGTGTACTGCTACCTTTCAGCTTCTGTATATCAGTCCTGTTATTACCATCATCTTGTGCCTTAACAGTCAGCATTCATGATTTATAAATTCTCCTTGGCTTAAATGTCAAGCAAAGTGTATTAGTTTATAGCTTTATATTGTTTTTTTTTGGGGGGGAGGGCCATGAATATTGCATCATGGTAAACTTATTCATCATCAACATGGAACAAATCCTATATTTTAGTTGATATAATAATGACCTATTGGCAAGCTGTTGAATATATATCAATATCAGCTGCATGTATCAGTTTGTGTGTTGACACCCCTCCATGCCATGACAAATCCTTGTCAAGAATCAAATCAAGTTGTCTTTCTCCATCTCAGTTTGAACAAATTCTTCCAGTGGTCTCAGCATGTTATAGTTTCCAGCTTCTCACAATATGTTTATAAAATAGTTGATAGTCTCTTCCTGATGACTGAGATAAGTTGTCTTTGAGCCCTCACTTTCTCAAAACATCCAGGTTGCTTTTTTTTTTTTTTTGTCCAAGAAATTCTAAGGATTCTTCTATAAAATCACATCTCCCTGGCCTGAAGAAATTGTTTGGCTTATTATTGTTTGTCCAGGATTGATAGCCATATATTAAAACTGGCTCTTTGTAGATGTGATAATTCTTTTCATAACCTCTGGTGACATGGATTTATTGCATAAAGCTCTGTATTTGATCAAATGCAATTTTAGCCTGTTCTGTTCTGTTGTTTATCTTTGAGATACATTTTCTGTCGGATGTTATTCATGTGCCTAGATACTTACATTTCTGTACTTGTCCAAATATCATACCTTTGACTTTTATGATACATTTGAGCATTTTGTGTGTGTGTGGATATTACCATTACTTTTGTCTTCCCTTTGTTCAAGCTAAGACCCATTTTATCATTTTCTATCACAACCATATCTATCAATCCCTATTGCTGTTTCTGGCTTGATTCTATCAAGATGGTGTCATCAGCATAATGCATTTTGTTCATGTTATGACCACCAGCCACAGTTCCTGGTGTATCCATGATAGATCTCATTATATTCACTGTTTAATGAAAACGAATTGGGTGTTGGTACACATGCTTGTGGTACTCCCCTCTTTATGGTCTGAAATATTCACTAAAGGTTGTTAATTCTCATAGGTGCTATTTGCTTCCAGTACGTGTTTTTTTTTCCCCCCTGTATATCTCTTCTATCAGTATTTTTTTTTTCAAGTAGTTTTATGTTGTGTGTGTGTGTGTCCGTGTGTGTGTGTGTGCGTGCGTGCGTGCGTGTGTGTGCGTGCGCAAGGGGCTTTAAATAAAAACTGGAGTGTACCTGTGATTAATGCTGTGAAGAAGAAGAGAACATTTTTACTAATAATCAGAATTTGCTAACTCTTAATCATAATATTATGAATGACCCCTTTTGCCTGCTGACCCACTGGTCATGTATTCAAATTTCTCCTTGTGGAGGAATGATTAACTCTTTCAGTCCCAAGAAACACACCTTACATTCTTAGGTTACTACCTAGATGCCCAGTAAATGCAAGATGTGCCACTTAAATGTCTCTCCTTGTAATTTACCCCTGGGCAGTGTAAAAATGATGAATCCTGAAATGTGAGTGGTTTTTCCAAGTGTTTGTGTTCAATCACTCACATGGTGACCATTTGGTTGATTCTGAAACTTGGTTGAAAGCATAAAATATAGTATGTTTGTGAGCTTTACCAAGTTACTAAGTGTTTGTTTGCAAATAATATGACCACCAAGCTGTCTTCTTCATGCACACCAACATGATTTGTGGCATTAGAAGCCTCAGATTTAACTAAAACATGTTTTTGTCAGCTTTATTCAAAGTTAGACAAAGAAAGTGGCAAAGCAAAACTTTCAGTCATTTATAGTCAAACTTTGATGAGGGATAGCTTTAATATGTTCTCCTGCAAAAAGTACAATGATAACATGTAAGCTGGCACAAAAAGATTGAATATTAGTGAAAAGGCAATTTTCTTAGTGCCATTTAGTTCTAGTGCTATTTCCTTGTTGTTTAGGAGCATAACAGCAACATAATGGGCAATTTCAGTGCTATAAAAAGTTCATTTTGTGTGAAGACATTAATCGTTTTGGGAAATTGTTTTTCTATATAAAAATAATGCTGCTCTGTTATGATGTTCCCAAAATATCTCTGAAATGAGTTCTAATGTATAGATTGTGATTATATTTCATTTATCCATTACTAAGTGGTTCACATTTATTTGTGATTCATTTTGGAGATGTTTTATTTTCTTTGAGCATAGTAGCAGTATTATATTTCTCTTCCTCAACAATACCTGGTTTCTTTGATATATATTATAATCTGTGTACATGGTGCTGCAGCTGATTTAGTATGGTCTGTTTAAATTTGTTATACTTGTGAAATTCAAAATTGCATTACAATCCATGGATCCCCCTATGCTAAACCAACAATGGTACTTGGAGATTTCAACGTGAAAATAGGAAGTGAAAAGTGTACGGAATAACGGGTGGCTATGGCCTAGGAGAAAAGAATATGAGAGGTGACAGATTAATATCATGGGCTGAGTCACGCAGCATGATAATAGGTAACACCTGGTTTAAACACCATCCTCAAAGATTTTGGACTTGGAAAAGTCCTGGTGATAATGTCCGCAATCAGATTGATTATATTTTGATTTCAAGAAGATTCAGGAGCAGCTTAGTTGGAGCAAAACTAGACCAGGAGCAGACTGCTTTAGTGACCATGTTCCAGTTGTAGGAAAAATTAGAATAAAACTAAAGAACATTAGAAAAACACCACAGAACATCAAGTTAAATTTAGGAATTCTTAGAACGGATAAAGAAATTAGGGACCAGTACAATGTCACTGTACAAAACCAGTATAATGCAATGGAAATTATACAGACTATTGATGAACAGTGGGGTATGTTGCGTGACATCAGCAGACATCTAAAGAGTCAATCCCACCAACCCATAGAGTTGCAAAAAATGAAATGGATGTCAACCGAAATTCTGCAGATGATGGATGAAAGAAGGAAGAAAAAGAATGATAAAGAAGAATACTCTAGAATACAAAAAGAAATAGTGAACAAATGCAAAGTGGCTAAAGAAGCCTGGCTGAATCAAATGTGTACAGAGATTGGGGAAAACAACAGGAAAGACTCACATTCCATGTACCAAAAGATAAATATGTTAACAGGAAAGATGACACGTAACAGCACTGGATGTTTGAAATCAAAAGATGGTGACTTATTAATGGGACATGGTAATATAATTAACAGATGGACAGAGTATATAGGGGAATTGTATGATGATAATAGACCAGATGTAGAGCTGCAGACCAACAATGATGGTCCACCAATAATGACTGCAGAAGTTCAGGTGCAATACATCATATGAAGAAAGGAAAAGCACCCGGGCCAGACAACATCTCACTGGAAGAAATCGAAGCACTGGGAGATTTTGGAATTGAAATAATAACTAAACTTTTAAATGATATTTATAATAGTGGGTATATTCCAAATGACCTTTTAAAATCCATATTTATAGCTCTGCTTAAGAAACCAGGCACTATAAAATGTGAAGCACAATAAGTCTTATGAGTCACATGACTAAGATTTTACTGAGAATAACTATGAGAAGAATAAGAAACAAAATTAAACCAGAAATCAGCGATGAACAATGTGGATTTGTAGAAGGAAAAGGTACAAACAATGCCATATACATATTAAGGACATTGTCAGAAAGAGCTATAGAAGTAAAGACTGATTTGTACATATGCTTCATAGACTATACAAAAGCATATGACTGTGTGAAGCATGAAGAAGTAATCAAACTGTTAGAAAAATTAAACATTAATGGGAAAGATCTACGAATAATAAAGAATATGTATTGGCAGCAAACAGCAGCTATAAGAATTAACAACTGTTTAGGTACATTTCAAAGCATAAAGAGGAGCGAATGACAAGGATGTGTACTGTCACCTGATTTGTTTTCAATTACAGTGAATATATAATGAGAGCTTTAATTGGTATGCCCGGAATTGTGGTTGGTGGGCACAATATAAACAATTTACGTTACGCTGATGACACAGTCTTGATAGCAACAAGTCAGAAAGAACTACAGGAAATAATAGACATTGTGGTGTTAGAAAGTGGAAGAATGGGCCTCAGTTTGAATAATGAGAAGACAGAAGTAATGGTGGTATCAAAGAAACAAATTATTCCTAAGTGTGTAAAAAAATGTTGATGGTGTTATTTTAGGACAAGTACAGAAATTTAAGTATCTGGGCACATGGATAACATCAGATGGAAGATGCATAACTGAGATCAGAAATAGAATAGGACAGGCAAAAACTGCATTTTATAAAATGAAAAACATCTTGTGCAATATATCCTTGTCATTGAGAGTTAGAAAAAGAATTCTTGCTTGCTACATACATCCAGTTTTAACGTATGGCTGTGAATCCTGGACAATCGATAGGCAGGCCAAACAATTTCTGGAGGCTTCGGAGATGTGGTTTTACAGAAGAATGCTTAGAATACCTTGGACAGCCAAAATGAGCAACCAAGAGGTTTTGAAAGAAGCGGGAGCCCGAAGACAACTTATCACAGACACAGACATCAGAAGGAGACAGTCATCATTTTTCGGCCATGTTATGAGAAGAGGGAAAATAGAACATGTTGTGACCACTGGAAAGATATGTGGAAGGAGAGATAGAGGAAGACAACAAGAGAAGATGCTTGACAGTCTTGTTGCATGGCATGGAGGTGTGTCGGCACATGAACTGATAAATGCTGCAGGAGATCGCAGATTATGGAGAGGCATATATATATATATATATATATATATATATATATATATATATATATATATATAGAGCCTCTCATAAAAACTACAAAACATTCCATCTGATAAATACATGTGTTCATCTATCCTAATGTTTACCTTCTTATATCTTTATCTATTGTTAAACATCACTGTCTTTTCCCTTCGTTATTCCATCTAAACAGAAACTTGTGCATCTTGTGCATTTAAGAATCATGTAACCCTGGATGATTGGCTGTTTGCACACTATATTATAGACAAGTAGCATTTCTTTTATTTAAGTGAACTTCCATGTCAACCCGCCTGGATGATTGGCTGTTTGCACACTATATTATAGAGTGAGCTTCCATGTCAACTCGCCTGGATGATGGACTGTCCTTTGCTGTTTGCACACTATATTATAGAAAAAGTAGCATTCTGAAATTTAAGTGAGCGTCCATGTCAACCCGGCTAAAATAGCACCAGGAAATTATGAGGGAAGCAAATGTCATCACTGGGTCGATCAGCCATCAAGTGCAAACTGGTATATAAACCTATTTGGCTATCATCATACGCAGCCAGTCTGAAGATGAGGAAAAGTTCCATAAATACACATTTTTAAAATGAAACTACTGAAGATGGGATTTTTCATCAATGTCATTAACACACCTTGAACATGTGCTGCAGACTCTTATGGACCTATTATATATTTAATATATATTATTATATAATGGACCTATTATATTTTATTCTACTATCTACAGGTTAGCCAATCCTTGTTTTGATAAATCTGCAGTTGATCCTGTAATTTGTGCTCCACCATTTGAATTCAGACATCTCCTTAACATGACGAAGAGTATTGCATCATTTAAGGTAAAAAAAAATTTGCTTTGTTTATGCAGATTGCAAATTTTTTTTTCATTGAAGCTATTTATATGCAAAGTGTGATTTGTTAGGGTGCCACAGTAGTTCGATTTTTTTTTTTATATGACCTCAACTTCCATGTGAATCTGGCTTAAAATAGATATAAAGTTAAGTCATGAAAAGTACAGGCGGGTGGCATGATGCTGACCTTATGACCCAACGAGAATCGTTTGGTCTACAGAAATGTGAATCATATATTATATACTGCTTGCGCCTCTGGTGTGAAAAAGGCCTCCTCTTTACTTACAGTTCTATTCTTGCTTTTCTAAACAAAATATTACACTTATAAATGTGGTTTAACAGAAAAATGCTAAAAAAAAAGTTTTTAGGTGGGCCCCATACCTTTGAAATAAGCTGAGTTATGAGTTAATCTTCACAGCACTCCGGACACATCCATAGGTGCTCAGATTCCCCTCCCAACATATTCATCAGCGTTGTGCGGTTAATACTACCAGTCCTGTGTTGGTTAACAAGACTTTGTGTGCGTCCATTTGGCTTCTCATGCTTGACTGTGCCGATCTTTACTTCCAATTAGCATATTCTTAGATGTGATGTGGACACGTTGCTTCCAAAATCCTCAGAGCGTCCTATCTTTCTAGGGGCAATGACAATGTCTGCGTGATCCATGGGTCGGTCATCTTCAATTAATGCAGTGCCTGCCAGTCTATCAGCTCTCTCATTACCAACAACGCCCGCATGCCCTGGGATGAATATGAAAGTAACTGAACACACAGAAGAATTTTGCAATGACTCAAGCCACTGTCTGCGTAACCAACCTGCCTCCACTCGCTGGATCATACTCAAAGAATCACTCAGCACACACACACATGGAATAGTCCTGTGATCCTAGCCACATGAAAGCCTGTGTCACCGCCATCACCTCCATCGTCATGCTGCTGGTGGTCATGGAGAAGGAAGAACTGGCTTCCTCAATTGTTCTGCCTGAAGAGCGAGCTGTAAATGCCCATGCACTCTTATTTCCTTGTATAACGGACCCGTCTGTGAAGATCACCACATCTGTCTCATCTGACTTGTCATTGATAAGCTCGCATACCTCGACATTGACAGCAGCGGATTCTGCTCCCAACTCCTATCGAGCGTCACGACACAGGAGAATGTGAGATTGGGCTATTAGACTCTGGTATCCACTCCTCACCTGGATAGATGTCTGTAAGGCTGCAAATCTGCATGATGTCATCCTCTGCCCTACCCAGCCACGATTTGCCCCTTTTAAGCCTGTTGCCCTTTTTCTTTAAGAGCATGTGGTGCAAAAGGTGCTTCAGATCTGGGCTTATTTTGATGTATGCACAAGCCCTCCAGATCTTGATCCTGTAGTAGGGAAGTCAAGAAGGTACCTCATTGCTACACAAGAGGTGTCTCCAGTGCACCCTGGAATAATGCGCATTGCTTCATTTTGCACCTTCTCAAGTCTTTCAATCTGAGCATGGCTGACAGTGAGGATGGCAAGAGCATATTCGATGGGAGAAAGTACAAGTCCTTGGAACAGAAGCAGAAGCAGTCTCTGCTCAGTGTTAGCGACAGCCAGAACCCTCATTGCTGACAGGCCTTTGCGTGCTTTTGTTATGACATGGTCAACATGTTCTTTGAAGGATAGGCTGTGATCAAACCTCACACCAAGGTATGTCATCAGATTTGTTCTCGTCAAAATTTCCACTGCTGGTAAGTCTGCATTCACTATATGCATGTTCAAGGAGAACTACATTACTGAGGCCTTCGTAGGGTTGACATGAGCATTAGGAGGAGATGCGAATTAGTTCACTCTCATTGACTTGGCAATCTCTTGATGATCTCTTCCATGTCGATTGAATGAAGCTGAAAGAAGCTATCTCATGCAAAAACGGTTATTATTATTTATTGGCCACATTATTCAAAGAGAACAACTGCAATAATTTATAATTGCTGAAAAGATTAATGGGAAAAGAAATAAAGGAAAACAAAGAGAGAAAATTCTTGACAACCTGTTGTCCTTTCATGGAAGAGTGTCAACACAGAGCTCACAAGATGTGGAGAAGCCAGATCATCTACCCAGTTGACAGGTCACTTGGTGATGGTGAATGTACTAAGCTGTTTTATTTCCATTAATTTCCTGAGATAAAATCCAGTACATCTACAAGGGGTGATGACACACGCACGCACGTACACAAACACACACACACACACACACACGCACGCATGCACGCACGCACGCACGCACACACACACTGGAAAGTGGGCAGGGTGGCTCCGCCTACTTGCACATTTTCTGGGGAAAAAATTGGGGTGGGGTGGGGGGGGGGATGGCTGCGGGTGTTGAAGTAGCCTGAGCATGGACCCTGCCTAACATGTTTTGTATGTGTGTGAATGAACATATATGTATGTGTGTGTGTGTGTATATATATATGAAATGTGTGTATATAAAAAATGTCAATTGCAGCAAAACTAGTGGCTGGGAGCGGTACTCTAGCACCTAGTGAGTGCTGTTGGGGAGGGGCTGGCATGCACTATACATAATCACACACACATTAATAGACATACATGTACAATACCCACAAACACACACACACACACACATATATATGTTTGTGTGTGTGTAAATGAAGGTTGAATGTGGTTTTGTTTGTTTGTTTTGTTTTACATAAATGGACAAATGGACGGAGTAATGTAGTGGCTAAATGATCATTTGCCAGTCTGAATGACTTGGGTTCAAACCTTCATGAAGACATTTAAAAAAATAATTTTAAATTGGTCTTTTCTGCCTGCTCAGACCAGCCAAAAGTGGCTACCAGATAATGTCCTGGGGAGTAAAGGTAGCCAGCTAGATGGTGACCACATCACTAATTGAATGCTTATTGGTTTATACAAATACGTCATGCATTATATGCCCAGTGGTGTTAGTGGGTCCTTTACGAATTTGCCTTCCAGTATATTCAATAGTTGACCTCTGTTTCTTATATTGTGACCTTGTCAAAGCTGTCAAGGTTTGATGTGCAATGAGGATAATCTGTCGATTAACCAATGAACTAACTAACAAGGTTGTCTAATGACTGGTAATGAGGATAATCTGGCGATTAACCAATGAACTAACTAACAAGGTTGTCTAATGACTGGTAATGAGGATAATCTGGCAATTAACCAATGAACTAACTAACAAGGTTGTCTAATGTCTGGTAATGAGGATAATCTGGCAATTAACCAATGAACTAACTAACAAAGTTGTCTAATGTCTGGTAATGAGGATAATCTGTTGATCAACCAATGAACTAACTAACAAGGTTGTCTAATGTCTGGTAATGAGGATAATCTGTCGATTAACCAATGAACTAACTAACAAGGTTGTCTAATGACTGGTGATATTTTTCAATAGTTGTCTAACTGAATTGTACTTTATAATATTCTTGGGATTTAGGAACAAGTAGACAAGACTGAAGTTACAGGAAATATAGATTACCCAGAAGGCTCCTTGGATGCCATTCTGCAAGCAATCACGTGCAAGGTAAACCACAATGTAATTTTTGGGGTGAATTTATAGTATTGTAAGATTAATAAAGCCATACCTTACCAGAAGCAGTATTAAAATTGCTGCTTTTATAAGAGACTGTTGAGGAATTTAGCTTTGTATATAAAGCTAGCAACAGAATAGTTACTAGTGTAAAATGTAAAGTGTTGGGCTGTTACATATTCATATTCTAGACAATGACATATGGTGTTGGATAGCCTGTTGTCTCCAAACTTTGGTCTAGAAATACCCCAATGGGGGAGGGGGCGCTAATTAAGGATTTTCTGAAATCAGATGTTTTGGCTAAAAGGTGCAGATATCACAGCTTAGCTATACATCAATATACAACATACAAACCATGCCTTAAGGGGGAAAACAGAAGAAGTTTAATGTATTTTCCTTAAGATTGTACCTGAAGGTAGGCAACACAGTGACTCACCATAAAAAGTCACATTTTAGATGTCAGCATAACAGGGACAAATCCCAGACTCCCTGCATCACTTTATAAATGATTATATGGAGGTACCTAATAGCCACACAGAATATTACCTTGGGGTTATCCACTGTGGGATAGAAAGCGAAATGTTAGTTGCATGTCCCTTTCAGAACACATAAGGGATCTGTCATGATTTAGCGGCTAGACGCTGGCTTGGGGATCTGAGTTCAAATCCAAATGGAGCTGGACCTTTATCAAAAATGACCTTGGCTTCCAGGTTGATCTGGCCTTAAATGGATATCAGGTTACTTACTGGGAAGTAAAGGTGGCTGGCCTGATTTTAATATCACCCACAGAGTGTGACTAGTCTATAGAATATAGGCCTAGCTCTGTATGCCTGATACACGTTAGCTGTTTTTTTTAATTTTTATTTTTTATTTTCAGTGTTAGACCAATTATTTTATAATGGTCATTTCTAGGGAAATATGTTAATACATTTGCTTACACTTTTGAGTTTTAAAAAATCATGGTCGCCATGGCAGTAGCCACCATCTTGGGGACAAAAATATGTACTTAGAATCCTAAAATTACAAAAACAAACATAGGTATTGAGAAACAGATGATGGAATCATGAACTTTAATCCTATGTTGAGGTACAGGTGTAATTTATTTACTTCAAAGTTGTTACTAAATATTTGTCTTTGAATTTTTAAATGTAGGTTTGTTAAAAACAAAACAAAAAGTTAAAAAAATATTTGGCATCATAAAGACATAAATCGAATTAAAAAAAAAAACTTTCTTAAATCTACTTTTATAAAGACCTGTCACTATAATATTGTTTGACTCTTTTGAGTCCCAAGTAATGCAGCATACGTTCATATGTTCCTACCTAGAAGCCCAATGAAATGATGCGCCGATTTTATTACTCTCTTTACTACCCCCTGGGCCTGTGATGCTAAACCCCCAGGAACTCAAAGAGTTAAGGAGTATCTACCAAATTTCATGTTTCTAGCCTTTACATCAGCTGAGATTTTAGGATTTTACACACACAATAAATAGAAAAATAGAATTGTGAGAAAACTGACTTTTAAACTTTTTTTTTAATCTTAAAAAAGTGCATTGGTTGGTGTCTTTAGTATTAACTTTTTGTTAATTTGTTAAATTTTTTTTAAATTGTTTACAAATGACCTAAATCTTGTGTGTCAATCTATTCTACGAATGGCGAACTTAACAAAAACAAACACATTGAAAAGTGATATTTTTGTCATAAATTGAAAAAAAGTGCTGTTTAGTGACCCCTTAAGGTGTGGAAAAGAGTCCTCAACTTTACTTTTCTTCAGTACATAACAAACCAGCTGCAGTATTTATTGGCTGTTGTGTGGTTTTATATGTTTGCCATTGATTTATGAATGGCTCAGGGTTAATGCCTTTGTCAAACTCAATGCAAAACAGCACACTACCACACTGCCAGCTGTTGACTTCAAATTCTGCTTGGTTTAGGACTTGAAACTGCATTCACTATCCCTAAATCACAGATGCTTACTGAGTTAGTGAGGGATCTGTATACATTTTAATTGTCTCAATACTGATAGTAACATTAATTCTTTCAGTCACAAGGAATGCATCGTACTTTCATAGGTTTCTATCTAGAAGCCCAAAGAATGCAATATGCGCTGATTTTAAGTTTTTCTTTACCACCCCTTGGACCTCTGATGCTAAACCCCTAGGGACTCAAAGGGTTAATAACCAAGTCAACCAAGTGATCTTTCACTCCATCTATGGGACTAATCTTGACCCAGGATAAAGCAGTATTTCATTGTTTCTGTAGTTACATATATTCTCTTAATATTTAGTGCTCAAAAAGACAAGGTAGATGTGATCAATGTCTTTTGGGAACAAGCAACGGAATCAGTAGAAATAAAAGATTATTATGGCCTGGAGAGAATGAGGCATCTGTGTGTAACCAGAGGGTCTGGCCGGCTCACTACACTCAGAGGAAATCAAGACGGACATATAACCAGATTGTGACCGGTACCATAAGTATTGGAACTTTGCGCTGGCTGCTGAAGATGAGGATGGAACATGCATGGGAATGTCCCAAGTGCTGTGATGTCAATTCTTGACTTAACTCATGGTGGTCAGTTCATCAGATCACTCACTCACCTGGATCTGTACACCATAGCATGCTGGAATAAGGGTGATTGAAGAGCAGATCTTGGCAAATAATATATTAATGTATGCAATAAGAAACAAGGACAGTGTTGATACAGTCACTGCTGTACAGACTATGCTAGTGGGTGTTAAGGAAGTCTTTAACCCAGCTATGTGACCTGGGAGAGAAGCCTGGCAAAACACACCTGTTGGCATTGGTCAAGATAGGTGACTATAACAAACCGCACACAGGATCAATCAGTAGAGGTGTGTTTGTACAATTTCTGCATTGGCAATATTGGGACACATGAGAATGCCTGATTTACTACTGTGATATCAGCCCTAAAAACATAGCATAACTGTGGTGCCAAGCTGACGATATGGAGCAGCACACACATACACATAGAATATATGTACGGAGATAACTGGGTATGGACAAACTTCATAATTTAAATATAATGCCTTTACAATCATTTCATTGTTTTTTTTTTTTTTTTTTTTGCTAACTTGTATGCTTCTAACTTTAAATTTATTATGTTAATTTTAGTCTGAAATAGGCTGGAGATCTGTGAGCCGCAAGTTGCTAATATTTGCTTCCAATGACAGATTCCACCTGGCTGGGGATGGACGGGTAAAAGCTGTTTTTGTTTTTTCTGTGTTAGTTAATATTACTTTCTAAGTACATTCTTTGTCTGACATAATTTTAGCACATTTAGTGCTGCCTGCTCTATAAAATAGGCGTCTAGCCCTATATGCCCGAAGTGCAAGATATGGGAAGAAGGTCCCTTTCTATATTTAATACTCTTTATACCGATACCTCTCAGTAAAATATGATAACATGAAGTTCAGACAGCTTTAAAGAAGGTCTACTTTTTGAATATGAAGTACATCCTTGACATATTCTAGACCATGAGCTGGGATGAACATTTCTACTCTGCACCAATTTATTTCTCAAACAGTTCCCAAGATTGTTTGAAAAAATATCTAGTAGACACTGTATAAAGATCAGTGAACTACAGAGACATAGTTTATTTAAACTAGAACAATTCATGGGAACAGAGATAGAAGGCAACAGTGGGAGACTATTTATAAAAAAAATTTTATGATGGCATGGGGATATGTTGGCACCCACATGCTGTATGCTGTTGGAGATTGATAAATCTCCAACAGCATACAGATATAGTTGGCGTTTGAGTTAGTTGTGTTTCTAAAGACTTTGTTTGACAGCTGCAGGTGATCAGGCACCAGACCACCTTGCATTAAATGTGCATTATATGGAAGCCCTCTGGTACAGCGGCTAGACGCTCGCCTGTGGATCAGAATATCATGGGTTTGGGTCTTTACCGAGCCAGACTTTAAAAGAAAATTCCATGGCTCCTAGGTCGACCCAGCCTTTGGTGGGCACCAGATATAGTCATGGGAAGTAAAGGCAGCAAAATATATAATAAGCACACACATACACACAAATGTAAATATATTCTAGATATGGTACTTTGATTTATAACATTCTGTATTATCCTGAAATTCTAGCACAACAGTTTATAACAAATTTTCCCATATCCTCTTGAGGTATCTGAACTTCATTTCTAATGTTTGCTATTTATAAATGTTACTTTATCAACAGATTATCCTCATTGCACAGCGCACAAGTCCAAAAGCACTGGAATCCCATCATAAGTATATCCCTCAGTGTGTGGCCACTGATAAGACCAGTTCTGTGTTGGTTTACTATTCTTCTTTGGCTACCAGTATAGTGCTCATGTTTGGTGACGCCTTTTTTTGACCTGAAGTTCTAGTAGTCTTTTTGAGTGTTGCAGATTCAACATCATCTCCTGAATCATCTCCTCATCCTGCCTCCTTGAGAGCATTGAGAATATCAGACCCTATCCATTGCTTTTCCTGCATCAACCAGGGCCCTGCCAGCAAGCCAATCAGTTGCTATTTATAAATGTCATTCTCTAGACAAACATAAGCTCGATTTTTGGCTTAAAGGTCTTAGAATCAAATCGACATCAGGGCACATTTTTTAAACTTTTCATTGGCTCCCAGATCAACCCAGTCTGAAATAGGTACCAGGAAATGACCTCGAAAGTAAAGAAGTCAGATACCGAGTGCTGGTTACTTTATGAAATTATGAATCTTGTCATCCTCTCCCCAGTGTGCCTCTGGTGGGGCAAGGATCACTTGCTTTACTTTTTATATCCAAACATAATCATTGCTTTTAAGTTTTGTTCCCCTTTCTTTTCAGCTTGCTGGCATTGTCAATCCAAATGATGGTCATTGCCATTTAGATGGAGCTGGAAAGTATGCAAAAGAGTTAGAACAAGTAAGACAGTATACCACTATCCATCTTTTAGCTCAGCTGATAATTATTAAATGTATTCCAGAAATTATTTCGACTTTTGTTTCCAGATTGTTACGTGTTTGTAACCTGTATTGATTTGCTCAATATTTTTAGAAATGTATTTTCTGTTCTTTTTTAAAATTTAAAAAAAAAATTTTTAATATATTTTTTTCTATTTTTGATTGCCCTTATATTCCATTTGACCTTGGCTCCCAGGTCGACCCAGCCTTAAGTGGGTACCAGGCACAGTCCTAGGAAGTAAAGGTGGTGGCATGATGCTGACCACATCACCCACCAAGTGCAGTTTTGCTCCATAAAATACAGGTCTGGCCCTATATACCCAATAGGGCGTGGAAAAGGGTCCTTTACTTATATTCCCTTAAAAAAAATAATAAATCACTTTCTGTCTTTCTGTATGCATATACTTTCTGTCTGTTATATTTTTTAAGAAGCATAGTTGATATTAGCTAGTTTATGTTTCAGGTAAACGGATAAGGGTTGACTTAATTTCAGAGGAAGATGAAATTTATGTTACTGGGTTTTTCATATCTCATTGTTAAAAAACCCTATCTCAAAGCTCAAATGACTGACTGACTGTTTTTCCTCTCTGGAGCTGTTACCTAAAGAACTTGCAACTCTGAGACTCAAAGTGTCTCATCCTTGATGGCAGTCCAACAGAATGAATTTCAATAACCTGTTCAACCTCCTTAGAGTTTACAATTGGAGCATCTGTAGAGTACTACTTTAACGTACTTTGCTGTCCAAGGTAGGTAAGGAAGTGATGATGAACCCAGTGCCCGAGTTTACCTTTTTTGTAATGACCATATAATGAATGGAAAATTGCAATCAGATATCTGGGTCCTGGAAAGACTGGGAATGAAAAGAGAGTTAATAAAAGAAAAAAGACAAGACAGTTGAAATATCTGTTCATATTAAAAGACAAAAAACTTTTAAAAAACATACTGGAGACAAAACAGTGATGTAAATGGGAGGAAAATGTCAAGAAATTAATAGAAAATAGTCTGAGAGATTGTACATCCACGTTAAGCATCACAGTCTTGCAGATAAATTGAATCCAATCTTCACTGTGGAGACAGCACCTGACTGATTGATATAATATGTAGTATTTTAATAAGTTAATTTATTAATTCTTCTATCATTTAACCCTTCCAGGATTATCCTTCTGTTAGCCAGCTGGCAGATATCACTGAGAAAAATGAGGTGCATATCATCTTTGCTGTAACCAGTAACCAGTTGCAACTGTTTAAGTTGCTCACTGACAGGATCCCCCAGTCCAAAGTGGAACTCTTGTCCAGTCCAAATGACACCAGCAACAAAAACATTAAGGATATCATTGAGAAAAAATACAGGGTAAAATCATTTATTTTTGTATTTGGGAAGTTTAGATCAGTGTGATGATGAGATAAGAATATGTGTGTAATGATGCTGATTAGGGAATTTGATGACATCACAGGGAAACACCCCATTAACCCTTTTGCTGCCAGCCAACCTTACCACTGAGCTAAGCTAGTTCCCCACTGATCTTTTCCCATGTGTTGAATTATTTTCTATCCCCCAAATGCAAAGATGCATTGGCGGTGGGGGCTATATTTTGTACATCTAAACATAGTCACCCCAAAAAAGTGGGTGGCTGGTCTAAGATTTGACAAGTCAGACGCACTCTGGAGATGCCAAGAAACTAAGGAAACACTAGAAACTAGGTTTAATTTCCTGGCTTAACCAGGGATAGTGACAGAAAATGTATCCTCTGCTAAGTCTACCTTTGTCTTCACCGCTTTCTGTATGTGTAGTAGAAACTCCATGGTGAAGGGAACACAACAGTAGCTTTCCGATTGTCAGCAGGAACATTCTTTGAATGTTTCAACCACTTTACATTCATTGTAGGTGGATGTTGCAAGACAGTTTTTGTTCTTTCTAGAGTGCATCTGAGGCTCTTACCTTCCCCTGGCCTGTTCCACAGCCCCACAAGATTGACCGACAAATCTATGGCCCCCTCACCCCTACTGGAAAGGGGGGGGGGGGGGGGGGGTCGGAGGCGAGAACTGCTCTAGGAGAATTCTAGCACTTTACCCTGGGCCATGACTCATGAATTGCTATTTACACTGCTGGCAATTCTCCCCCCCCCCTCCCCCCCAATGATCCATAAATCTACCGCTTTATCATAATTAAGTGTATTTCCTGTGTTATAACTTACTTTTTTTTTTTTTTTAATAAAAATTACTTCAGTCATCCATTGCCAAAAGTGCTCTATGCATACAGGACGCAGGGACTTCCTGAGTTTCTAGTAACTGCAGCGATCCTGAGCAAACAAATGGGCAAGTGTTAGAGCTCACTTGGCCTAAGAAGGATCATTGCAGTGTTTTATAGGAAAACTTGAAAACACTGACACATTTATATATATATATATATATATATATATATTGTAACAAAACTAGAAAGAAGCATAATGCAATGATTTTAATTAAATATACGATCCTTTTCCAAACCATAGAAGGACAATAAAAAAGACATGAATACTTTTGTCAGTGATGCTGTTATGTTTGTTTCAAGACTAATCGTAACATAACATTGAATTATGCTTTCCTTTTTAATATTCTACAAACACAATTTTAAACAGACAAGAGATTTTATGTAGGACACTTTATTTTTAAATTAAGTTGGAATGCATTATTTCACTGTGATAGTTAAGAGTTTATTTCACTGTGATAGTTATGAGTTATCAACTTTAAGCTGAACTGGTTTATTTCACTGTTATAGTTAAGTTATCAACTTTATTTTGGATTGGTTTATTTCACTGTTATAGTTAAGTTGTCAACTTTATTTTGGATTGGTTTATTTCTCTGTTATAGTTAAGTTGTCAACTTTATTTTTTATTGGTTTATTTCACTGTTATAGTTAAGAGATCAATTTTAAGTTGGATTGGTTTATTTCACTGTTATAGTTAATAGTTATCGACTTTATGTGGGATTGGTTTAATTCACTGTTATCCTTAAAAGTTATCAACTTTGTTAGATTGGTTTATTTCACTGTTATAGTTATGAGTTATCAACTTTAAGTTGGATTGGTTTATTTCACTGTGATAGTTAAGAGTTATGAAACTTAAGTTGGATTGGTTTATTTCATTTTGATAGTTAAGAGTTATGAACCTTAAGTTGGATTAGTTTATTTCACTGCTATAGTTAAAAGTTATCAACTTTAAGTTGGATTGGTATATTTAATTGTGATAGGTAAGAATTATGAAACTTGAGTTGGATTGGTTTATTTCATTGTGAAACTTCTCTCTAGACCGCAGTGATCTGTTACACTTGTCCACATTGTTCTCATATTGCCAGTGTTCTTAACACTTTTGTCTTGTCATGCATCAAGTGATGCAGAACTAGTTAATCTATTTCTATGTCCATTTCTCAGCACATAAGCATGTCCTAGAGAAAGGATCCACAGGACTGTGATAATGAGATAGTAATGTTCTTTACAAGATAAACAGTTCTGACAAATTTTCTTTCTATACATGCTACATAAACTTTTTACACTAAGGAATTACTGCTTCTTTCCATATATTTAATGTATGGCAAATTTTCTTCTTCTTCTGCGTTCGACATCAGTCATGCTACACATTGAGTCTCGTCTGGGTCAAAAATAGGATTGTGCGTTTAAGGTCGCCACCAGTCCCCCATAGCTTCTCTCGCAATGTGGATCCCCTGGGCCAGATCCACAGTCTTTGCTGGGAGAGGTAAGGGCAGTACTGCAGTATGTGCTCAGGGGTCTGTCTTTCTGCTCCATAATCACAGGCAGCAGATTCTTTTATGCCTATCCTGTACAAGTGTGCTCGAAGACCACAGTGTCCAGTCCGAAGTCTAAAAATTGATAATTGTATGCAAAGAAAAGCTTAAAATTAAATGAAACACTTTTTTTTTTCATTTGTCTGATTTTTGTCTGAACATAATTGTTATTCCTCATTGCAGCATAGATTACTCCACCCTCCCCCTACCACATCCTTCTTCCTCTTCTACAGCACCATGACAAATGAGTAACCACAAACACTACACAATATTTCAGTACTGATATTAACATGATCAAGGAATTGTGTTCAGTTGTATAAAATGTTTAATATTAGACGGCTATCATAGTCTTCAATTTCAATAATCGTGATAAAATGTTACTGTTGAATGTAACATTGCCTGGTAAACTGCAAACAGGCAACAAATACTCAAGTTAGTTTGCAGCAACTTTAATGAGGATATATAGATAACTTTCTTAATTAAATGTTAATCATGACAATATGTTCTGCAGGAAATGATATCAGAAGTGGAGATGGTTCATACCAAAGTCAAAGGTGTAGATGTTCAGATCAAAGCTACAAGTGAAGAATGCCAACTGTAAGTTTTGCTTCTATAATTAGTATAAAGATGTCAGTCTATGTGACTTAGAGACAGGCAACCCATACTTGAGGCCTAATTGCAACCTTTGTAACGGCACTAGCTCAATGGCTAGATGCTTGCCTGCTGGGTGAAAGTCTTGAGTTTTAAAATGCATTGAAGCAGATTTTATAATTGAACTTTGGGCTGTCAAATCAACACAGACTAAATGGGTACTGGGAAAGGCAGTTTTTATGATTGTCACAGGTCGGGTGGTGTGTACATTTTAAAGAGGGGATAGAAGAAGAAGAGAAGATATAAAAGTAGAGAGAGAGACAGACGAGAAGAAATAATAGTTAAAGGATGTATAAGAGGACAATAGGTTCTCCTGTGTGGAGAGTGTAGTAATAAGTCTACACCCCAAACGATCAGGTAATAGTCAGTGGAGGTCTTATGAAGGAGAGAGAGTAGATATATAGTAAAGTGGTGGTGGTATAAAGACTACAGAGACTAACAATAATAATACCACTACTATACTCAACAAACTAACGATGGAATAAAAGAATAACAACTAACAATCATGTTTATTAAGAAACAGCATTACAAAGTCGTCTATCTCATGTTACACAACCGACAGATGTTATATTATGTTATAAACAGAACGTCCTCACACTATAAGACTCAGCAACTGACAGCAGAATCCACTCAACGATAAACTAGCAAATGACGCCTAGAATATCCTTCATTGCTCTACAAATAATAAGCCAAATAACAATTACAATCTAGCCATCTACTCTAATGCCAAATACCGACTACCATCTAACCGTACTGCTGATTGCAGTCCAAAGACCAGCAAACCAATAGCCAAATACCGACTACCATCTAGCCATACTGCTGATTGCAGTCTAGATACCATCTAACTATAGCTGATTGCAGTCCAAAGACCATCTAGCCTATTTAGCCAACCCGGCACACCATGACAGAAACTGCCATGTCACCTGTTAAATATATTCAAACAATCTAAAAGTTCACATTGCCAAGCATATAAACGTGAACGCAACAACATACATCGTATTCTACCCTGCAAACAACTGCCTTTCTTCATACGAATAGTTCTCCCTTTAAACAGGCATTCTTATACCCTTGAATAAACCTCCATCCACTAACTCACATGTACTTCTTATTCAAAACATATTACTATGTATAACCATACATGCACTATTTACTTTTACCACATGAATGCCCATGCATTTCCTCTTCAACGACAACAATCTGGCTACAGACATGGCCTTGCATCCCCCACTCACTTCAACATCTGATACTCTTGTCCCGCCCCTTTACAGGTAAATTCTATTATATCCGTGTGCTCCCTTCTCAGCAGCTTGCCGAGGACAGTTAAAGCTAAATGACTTTCACTTTCCCATATCTTCTTATATCATTCTCTCTTCAAATCACAACTAAATGTTTACAACATTATAACTGCATCATGTTAATACATATGGCGTTATCATTCCCTAGCAGCGCTAACTCTGATGTTCAATATGATATTCCACACGTCATGCTTATCTGCTATCATGACCATCACCATCATGTGCTGTGCCGGTCTTCCAGTAGTTATTATGTCTTCTAACAGAATCCTACATTCTTCATTACAACCATGACACACATAACTATACATACACAATTATACATCTTATGACATCAGTGCCCGCTGCTTTCCTCCTGTATCACAATCAAAACAGTGCAGACACAGCCTGGCCGTTAGAAAGGGTCATTCTAGGGCCACCTGTTCATTCACCAAACCACACTCTCTCTACCTGTGAAATACGATATTGGGCCTCTGACCTAAATAAGAGGGCAGCCCCCGTATGCTGCATGCTCAGAACGTTTCTCGTTTTATAACTTTCCTTTCCTCCAATGTTCCAAGATGATGTCTGCTCCAAGAACTCATTATAATATACATATTGATACTCATACTTTGCATTAATACACTTGGATCTGTCAACATAGCATTTGCTATGTCTCAGGTGTCCAGTTAGATGACTCGCAAGATCCAGTTAATGCATATCAGAGCAATCATCATCATCATGTGTCCTACCAATAACCCAAGATGCGCTAACCGCTATTATCACACTGTATCTTATCTAATTACTTAACATGAACACAGTACTACTTACATAACATGAAGCAATATTTCGTGCATTATCTGGCAATTCACACAACAGAAGTATGGACTTAGCTCCATCGTATCGACATCATCCGAATGCCCACAGCATCCTTCGTTGGCAGAGATCTCAGCGCAAGTGTCTCTATCAGGGCTTCCAGTAGTGTATTTACCCCTGACGCTACCGCTCTCCTTTGTCCCTGAGTTCATGAAACTGTGTCTTCTAAGGTTCGTGAACCTTTCTCTTTCCCGCCAAAGATGGTATTCCAAGCCACTTTGCATATTTGGATGGAAAATCCCCAGGAAATCTTGTGTCGTTGCCTTTGTTCGTTGCCCTGCCTCTGTTAATTTACGAGTATATTGGCCTACCACAGTTCATGAACAAGCTTGGCATGCACCCACGTCTTTGTCCACTCTTGAGTCAATGCCCTCAGGGTTGTTAGACTGGCGACCCTCTTTATCTCAAGCGACTCTATACCTCCTTATTCCTCCATGTGTTTCTTTCCTTCTATTTCCTTCTTGTAAAAAAACGTGACTGTAATCAGTACTGTCACATGATGTTGGCCACATCCCACTCTAGTGCAGATTGATCTTAAAAAATAAGCCTAATAACATTTGCCTGATGCATTGCAATATCAGTTATTTCTATAATTATGATCTGTGACTGATGTTATTGGGGTTGAGGGATTGGGGGGGGGGGGGAGGGGGTTTTATCGATCACCGGCTGTGAATTCCAGTGGAAGGTCCCGGTTAATCGTCCGCTTGGACTTTTGGCTTTCACCTGGACCTGATTTTTGCGTGTACAACCGTTTTTCATTTCCCTGCCTCGTGGGCAGCTGTACTCCGACTTCGAAGGAAGACGTCAGGCCTATTTCTAGGTTGACTGTGGCCATTGTTTTGTGTGGGTCGAGACGTTGCCTGATTTGTGTGGTGTCCACTTTGTCTCCTTCGCCGCAGGTATTGCCCTCGGAGTACCCCTTTGGGGCAGCCCCCTGTGGAACAGTTAGCCCTCAAGGGAAGGCAGGGGCAGATCATGGGCATTCCCCGCCATCCAAGGAGGCTTCCATGCATGCAGAGCCGGCACATGGCGCTCTGGTTCTGGGCTCACCCAAGGAATCATCACGTCCTGCACATGCCTGCTTAACCTCACAACCGTATCAGGCCTCCCGCTCAACAGGGGCTGCGCCCTCTGGAAGTCAGCGGGGAGCAGCCCGTGGGTTTTGGACTTTTGTGACCACACAGATAGGTACATTCTTTTTTTTCCTCGCACGTTAGATTTCTTTGACGAGCCGTTAGCCCGACAGAATTTTACATCCTGCATCAGGCATATCGTTATCAGTTTTGTCCCAACACTCGGGCGAGTGGGGTCTTTGGGTGTGGACATTCGGTCTTTTTCAGTTCAATACAAATTTTAATGGTCAGATTTTGATCCGTATGATTTAGTTTTGTCGGACAATTAGGCTTAGCCATCCGATGGTTGGTTGCTGTTGTGGTGTACCTCAGGGCGGTGACGACAACACTGAGGGTTAACCGAGGATGTACATGAATGGCCAGCCTATGGATGGTTGCTGTTGTGGTGTACCTCAGCGCGGTGACGACGACACTGAGGGTTAACCGAGGATGTACAAGGATGGTCAGCCTATGGATGGTTGCTGTTGTGGTGTACCTCAGCGCGGTGACGACGACACTGAGGGTTAACCGAGGATGTGCAGTGAACAATGTTCTCTTTACTCCGCAGTCTTTTAACCAAGGGTTGTAATTTTGGCTGTACGTTTGGCAAACCTACTCATGTTCCTAATGAGTTTTGATAACATTTTTCACCCAAGCGGGGGGGGCGGGCTGATGAGAGCCACAAGGACACATCACCTCTGGGGGCCGCCGAACTCCGAGATCCCCTGACAGCTCTGTTAATGCTCATTTGAGACATTATCCGTGGCGCACGACGAGGACGTGCTGTAGGGGTCTTGCGTGAGGTTCCGTACAACCAGGATAGTAAAGGACTGGCGCCCGAGTGACGTACGGAGTATCTCCTTATACACATCATGTTGGACTTAACTTTCCCTCACGCCTGTGACATAAATCACCGCGGCACGGGGGGGGGGGGGGGGGGGGGGGTCTTATTGAGAACTTGTAAAGCAAATTATGTACTGGGACAACTAACACTACTTCTTACTTACAGAAAGATATCTTTGTCCACCAAAGCAAATCTATTGGCCAACTTTATGCTGCCAGTGTCAAACATGGACCTTTACTGCAACTGATGAGTGCAAGAACATAATAATAGAGAGGAGATGTCTTAGAAGAGATGAAAGAGTAGAGGAGATTAAAAACTAAATATGAAGACATTAGAGTACTGGAACTGAAACTATTCATACAGTTCATTAAAGAGCCACAGATAGGATGATTCTCCATTTGATGAGAATACTCTGGTACCAACTGCCACAGAGAACCACACTGACAAACTAAAGTGAACCCAGAGCAAGGGAAGGACCATGCAAATTATGGAATGACGGTATCAAAAAAGCCTAAACAGAAGATCTGTACATCTCCTCCCAACACTTTGTGGAGGTAACTGGATAAAGAGGAGGAGAAGAAGAACAACAACAAAAATTAGAAGAATAAAAAGAATAAGAAAAATAAAGAAAGAAACAGAGGAAGAGGAGGAAGAAGAAGAAGACCACTTTACATTATTTGTTGAACACATAATCTCTTAAAATCTATATTTTCTCCTCCAACTACTATAAGTACATATTAAAACCTGTGAATATATTTCTATAAAGGAATTCTTGACAATACTGCAATGTATGTATTCTTTTTGCCAACCTATCAAAGAAGAATGGGGGTGAGGAAAACTAAACTGTTCATTTACTTTAATCTGTAGAAGGGAATTCATCATTATCATTATCTTATTGTGCCATTCACACATCACTAAGGATTCACAATCTGTTCCTCCATGCTTGTCCATCCTGTGTAATTATGACTGGCACCTCTGTCCTCACTCATCAAAATTCACCATAGGATATCTCTTGGATATCCTCACTTGCTCAGTTCAGATTCTTGGTTCACTCCATGTCAGGATGTACACTATAGAAATGCAGCTACGCAACTAGCAAAAGTCAGGAAACTATATATAACCACTCACGACGCTTTATTGCATAAGCAGCAGCTCAGAAGAAGGTGAAGAAGCTCTCAGATTGTGCTCAGTATCTTGCCATCTTCTTTCTGTTAAAACTAGAAGGACACAATACCAGGGAATTATGTTTTGAAATATACTTTATATTTTAAATACCGTCATTATTTAAAATATTCACATTGTCTGTAAAAAAGTCTGTAATAACTGCAAACCTCTGTTTGAATTCTTCAGGAGAGGAACTAATAAATGCAAAGGTCTGGAGATAGGGACAGAAGTAAGTATGAGAGCTGCAACACAGTTGTTGTTCAGCAGCAAGTAAATAAGACAAAGAAGCTTGAAGGAAAAAAAAAAACTGACAGTTCAGTGAGATGTTCTTCAAACTTTGGTACACAGACCAGTGGTGGTCCACGGAAATGTCTAGGTGGTCTGCAGAAAATGTCCATCCAGTCATATATCAGGTACATTATTCAGGTGCTACACTACACTGGTGTTGGGAAAGTGAGATGCTGCATGCAAAAATTTAGCTCTGGAAGTACAAGCCACACCAAAGTTAAAATGAAAACAGAAAAATCAAATGGATGTTATTGCATCACTATATCTCTAAGAAACAGCACTCCAGCCACATGTATCAAGTTTCTAACCTCTAAGCAACCAGTGTCGCATCAGCATTTTATATTTTTTATAATTGGATTTAATAAATAATATGCTGTCTAATGCAGCTTAGAGTATAGTGAAATCATTTCACAGTCTAATGTTTGATGCACCAGGGCTAGATTTATGTGGCCTACTGTTTAGAAGAAGACTGTTCTTGTGGCTTTCTGTCACTGGTATGAGAGCCACACCGTGGAAGCAACTGGGGTCACAAAACTCATTACCAATTACAACAATGGGTGCACTAGTGAAAACTTCCATTTTGGAGATGGCACAACATTTATTTATTTGTTTGTTTCCACCAAAGCTATAAGCTGGCCCAAACAAAGAAAACATCTTCTGTTTTCCTTGTTCTCTAGTGTCAGAAAGGTTAAAGAACACTGGTTTAGTGAACATAGAAAATTACATGAATGGAAAGATAAATGTTTTCTAAAGTTTGTACAGATTTAGCAATTTTATTATGCATCTAGGGGTTAATTCCACTCTCTCCATCAGCCAGTATTGTCCACTTTAGCAAATTATAGCTTAAAATGCATCCATTTGTAGCAGTTGCAGGAACATTTTATTTCTATGTGATCAGTTGAGATCTGACGGTTACAGTTATGCTGCAGTACTCTACTTTTTGTGCTCTGCAGTTGTGCATTGACTGGACACTTGCAGCAGACCTGAAGTTTGAATCCATACCAGAGTGGATTGTTTATGTATAATTGACTTTGGTTTCCACACTGATCCAGCCTAAAATGGTGACTAGAAAATGTGTTGCGAAGTTAAGGCAGCCAACATTATAATGACCACATCTTCAGTTGAGTGCAAGGGGGCTGCATGGTCTCGAGGTATGGTTTCAGCCTCAAGGGCTAGAGGTACCGGGTTCAGGCCGCGGTGAAAGCTGGGATTTTTCGGATCACGTGAACTTTTAGTAATTTCCCCTGGTCTTTGGGTAGTTAGATTGGACCCCCATGGGTATTTTTGCACGCGTAAAAAATACTTTGACAGTTGGAAATCGAAAAGAGTAGCCTAACGGAGTAAAAAATCTACCCAAAAAGTATTTCAGGATCCTCGCCGGTGCAATAGAGTTTGTTCACTGTGCTGAGATTCTTCAGACTCAGGCTTGAGTTAAAAGAATAACGGAGCACTTATGAGTTACTATTGGTGTTTCCTGATGTTGATCCATTGTTCAAACTTCAATTGAGTGCCAACTGGTCTATACACATCTGAGTTTAACGCCAGTGGCACAAAAAAGAGGACTAGACGTTTTTATTGTTATTTATTCCCCTTTTGTAGAAGAAATGAACATAAAAATACAAAAGTTGTTTTGTATCTTCTAGATTAAATTTGATGTGGAAGTGAAAGTAACTGAGTGTCCATCCAATCCTGAGGAGCGTATCAAGGAGGTTGTTATTTACCCTGAATCTCTGAAGAATGACAAGCTGGTTATTGACATTGAAATGCTTTGTGAATGTCCATGCAGTGAAGACCAGAAAACATGGGTAAGTAAATCAGAGTTCTGTGCAATATTTTTTATATGTTACAGCACACTGGCTAAACATCTGTTGTCTTGTGGCTCTGAAAGCATGCTGAGAAAGGTAAAGACATGAATGCTTCGAGCAGAGTGGCAAGCTTCACTGGAAAGGTCACAGGTAGTGAGCAAACTTTAGATTTCTACTAATTCAGCAAGGGGGATTAGAACCCTAGTAGAGATTTTGGGTTGGTCCTCCTATCCAAAATGAAGTGGACTGCCTGCAACCCATCAGCATGAGGGATAGATGTGTAAAGAGAGCATACATTTATCAGGAAAAGGTGGTACTGCTGTTAGCCACAGAGCCTTTGTGGATAACAGACCTGGTTAAAGATACCTTTATCTGGGATTTTCTGGGTAGTTAGTAAAATAAAATATCTGCCGTGAGTCTCTGCACCATTTAGGGCGACTGTCTGAATTCCAGTATGCTAACTTTAGCTTTCAGTTTTTATCTTGTCTTGTGTGTCCTACTATCTAAACTTCTTTCATCTGCTTATAACAGTAAATTCTGACTATATGTTTGTATCCCTGCTATAATTTTCTATTGTAGAACTTCTGCTGCTAGTAACATAGCTAGTTCTTTGTTATAATTTTAGTTTAACAATATGATGCCATTTCCACTATAGAGGTTAGTAGTACTGGATCTCCAGCATCGCCCTTCTCCCACACTGGTTCTACACTATCCGAGATTGCTGTGTATCTGACTCTTGATTTTATACTTTCTCCTCTTCTTCTTCTTCATATTCGGTGGCTGTAAACCCCAGCAGAAAGTTCTGGTTATTTATCCACTTCTGGACTTTAGTCTTGCTCCAGGACTGGAGTTTTGTGTGCACATCCATTTTACAGATCTGGCTTATGTATATGCAAACTGTTGGTTCCTTGCCTCTCAGGTAGAAGCCCTCTGACACTGCAGGAAACACCTCAGATTGGTCGACTGTTACAACTTGCTTACAAGGAGGGCAGTGGGTCCATTATTTATTTTCCAAAATGAGGCTCCAGCAGCCACACATGGAGTTAGCCATTCTATTGCATCACTTCCTACCTCTTGCTTGCCTATTTTCAGCATTTTTCTCCATTATATTTTTTAAAATAAATGTTTTAACTTTTAATGTGGCTGAAAAATTTCTGTCACTCTCTTTCTTTTATTTCACCAACCCTTTTTTATTCCATCTCTTCAGAACTGTGTTAAAAAATAACTTGCATTTTTCTAAATTTATTTCACTTAAAGAACGCTTACTTATTTTAATGTTTCCCCTCCTAACACAACACAGGACACTAGCAGTAATGTATGCACAGCTGGAAATGGAACTCTAAAATGTGGTGTTTGTGAATGTCACAAAGATCGATTTGGTTCACTTTGTGAATGTGATGCGACAGATCTTGATGGACCTAATTCAGGATGTATAAAGTAAGCTGCAACAGTAATTTTTATGAGTTTTGTTTGCTACATGTAATATATTGATTCTAGTAAAATATTTGTACATGATAATTATTGTAATCACATTTTTTGTGCAAGTCTCACAGAAGGCATATGATGCTATTCATATTTTTATAGGCCACTGGGTACTTATTGGGGGATGTGGTCAACTCCAAACTCAGGTCAAAATAGTTACCATCTACACTTTTTGTGTATATCCTGGAAAAGAGAAACATGAGTACAGTAGGAAAATAAGAGGGGAATGAGCAAAAGATGTTGGACAGTCTGACAATACACAAGACAAAAACATTAATAACGGTCTTGTTTACTAACGTCAGATGGCATGGAAGAATGTCAGCATCAGAAGTGATTGACAGCACACAAGAAAGAAATTTATGGACAGCCTTGATTACTGTCATTACATGGCATGGAAGAATGTCAGTATCAGAAGTGATTGACAGCACACAAGAAAGAAATTTATGGACAGCCTTAATTACTGTCATTACATGGCATGGAAGAATGTCAGTATCAGAAGTGATTGACAGTACACAGGATAGAAATGTATGGACAGCCTTGATTACTGTCATCACATAGCATGGAATAATATCAGTATCAGAAGTGATTGACAGTACACATGATAGGAATTTATGGAAAGCCTTGATTACTGTCATCATATGGTATGCAAGAATGTCAGTATCAGAAGTGATTGACAGTGCACAGGATACAAATTTATGGACAGCCTTGATTACTGTCATCACATGGCAGAAGATTACTGAAGAATGTCAGTATCAGAAGTGATTGATAGTACACAAGATAGAAATTTATGACAGTACACAAGATAGAAATTTATGGACAGCCTTGATTACTGTCATCACATGGCATGGAAGAATGTCAGTAACAGAAGTGATTGACAGTTATAACACAATAAAGAAATGTATGGACAGCCTTGATTACTGTCATCACATGGCAGAAGATTACTGAAGAATGTCAGTATCAAAAGTGATTGACAGTACACAAGATAGAAATTTATGGACAGCCTTGATTACTGTCATCACATGGCATGGACAAATGACAGTATCAGAAGTGATTGACAGAACTCAAGATAGAAATTTATGGACAGCGTTGATTACTGTCATCACATGGCATGGAAGAATGTCAGTATCAGAAGTGATTGACAGTACACAAGATAGAAATTTATGGACAGCCTTGATTACTGTCATCACATGGCATGGAAGAACGTCAGTATCAGAAGTGATTGACAGTACACAAGATAAAAAATTATGGACAGCCTTGATTACTGTTGTCACATGGCGTGGCTACAAAAAAAAGATAATAGTTATCATTTTGATGGTCATAATACATTATCATTGTGTGCCATGCCAGAGAGTTTGGACAGTTATGATTCAACATGTTGCATGATTACTAGTCTTGGATTTACCAACACAGGGACCACATCTAAAAAGATCTAATTAGACTGCAAGGGGGCATCCTAAGTGACGATTGATCATTGACATTACAAACGTTGTTTTCATATTATTAGCTCCTGGACCCCATTTTGGGGTATAGGAGAATAGATCCATTGCTCCTTAACATGCAGGTCATAAGAGGAGACTAGAGGCATCTTCTTCATGTTGGAATGCATCTGCCTGAGATGCAAGGAAACAACAGTCTGCATCCAATTAAGCCACACCTGTCAAATGGATGGGCATGCAAATCTTAAGTTCCTGAACAAGACCAAACTCCAGAAGGGAATGAACAACCAAAACTTCCTGCTGAAGTTTACAGCCAGTGAATGCTAAGAAAAAGAAGGAAACAAATATTCTACATCTACACCAAATGATGATAGCCAGTGCTACCCATCAAGCAGTTGATGACAAACTTTCCTTTTCACAGTACTTACTGGCACAAGTGGAATTTGATGATAATGATGACTAGTCTTGGGCTAGGCTCTTCTTCTTCTTTACGTCCTCTTTCACTTCTTTAGATGTTGAGGAAGAAATAAGGCCCTGCTTCGTGCTTTTCTGGCTGCCTCCACCATAGACACATCATGGTGCTGTATAGTTTCTCTGATTTTATCTTCCCATATTGTTCTTGGTCTGTCTCCACATCCCTCTCCTCTTTTGGTATATGCCTTGTATGGTAAAGCTTCAGAAGGCATTCTCTCCAAGGGGACAAATAAAGGTAGCTTTTCCCTGAAATGTAGCTATTATTAGTTTATGTCATTGCAGCTAATTATGTTTCATTTCTTTCTGAACATGCATAAATTAACATTATGTAACAATTTCAGACCAGGAGAAAACTCTACCTTACTGTGCAGCGGGACTGGCAAATGTGAATGTGGGGTGTGCACGTGTGATGAAGGGTACAGTGGGCCTTTCTGTGAATGTAATGATCGAGCCTGTGGAATCTTCCAGCGAGAAATCTGTGGAGGTAAAAATAGTTAGCTCTTTGAAAAAAAAAAAACTATATTATTATTCTCATTGTTCACCAGCTATAAACTCTTAGGGAAAGTTCTGGTAGCTTGTCCACTTGTGACTTTCATCTTGTTTTAGAACTTGAGTTTTGTGTGCACATCCATTTTACAGATCTGGCTTATTTGTAAACAAACTGTTGATTCCTTGCCTCTCAGGCAGGGGCACACCAAATTTGATGGAAAATGCCTTATCAGCTGTTGTTTACAACATGCGTGGTTAGAGGACAGTGGATCTATTATTTTCCCCACTTTAAAATGGGATCATGAAACCCACACGGGAAATACCCCACAATAAGCAGCAAGAAGCTTTGTCACTGTGCCAGTGTTTACGTTGTTTTTTAAAGAACAGTTTAGTAAAACTATTTTACAAGTTAACAACATTGATTCACTGTTTGGATTTTGAAGATTAGTTTCAAAGGAAAAGCAAATAAACCCATGGCCCCTTCAATAAGCATGTCATGAAATGTAACTAATTAAGGGTTTGTTGAAATCAGATGTGTTTGGCCGGAAAGTTGGAGACACTGCTGTCAAACTCTAAACAACAAAACAAAGGACTAACTGCCCTTTTAAGAGTGAATGAAGTAGAAGAAAAAAAAAGAGACAAAAGAAAAATTAATGCTGAAATGAAAATCTTGCAAAAGGCACTTAGTATAACAAGAAGAGAAAAAAATCAGAAAAAAAAGGTAAAAAGGGGTAGTTTCAGCTCTGAATTTAATTAGAAAACATCAAGTGAAATGGTTTGACATATAATGTGGATTCCAATGAAAAAACATTATACTACAGCAATAAGTGAGGAACAGAGCAGATGGGAAGAGAAGAAGAGGCTGACCATGCAAACAATTTACAGAGGGAATAATAGAGTTCCTAAGAATCCCCATATATGAAGCCTCACAAACAGGCACTTTCCTGCAAATGATACTTCACTTTGATACAAGATACAAAAGGATCAAAATGAGATTAGATGATGACAAAGAACAAACAGCACTGATTGCACAACAAGTTGAAATTCATTACAAGTTAACAACATTGATTACACAAGAATTTAATGATATTTATTACACTGCATTCAAATGACAGTTATTTCACTGCATTCAAATGACATTTATTACACTGCATTCAAATGACAGTTATTTTATTGTTACTTGGCATGGAGGCATGGACTGTGTGAACAGGCAGTTGGAAGAAAGGATTAATATTGTTAAAATTGTGTTATATAGAAAAAGAACTCTTTCTTGTCATGGATGGAAGCAGAAATGAGGAACAGTTGGCCAAATGGTCAAGAAAGTTAGACTCATTTGGGAGACCCAGATTCAATTCCTGTGTAAAGCTTTAGATTTTTTTCTATAAGGTGCCAAAAGCTAAATCCTAACATATTCCCTTTGTGGTAACTGCACTAACCATGTGACTCTAAACCCTCAGACTCAAGATTTCCCTGCCATACACAGCACTAAAAAGTGGTAAATGGAGACAGCAAAGAATTTTTTTTCACTGATTTTATTAACTTCATGCCAGTCACTACCCTTGACATTTCCTAATACCCATTTTAGGTTGGATCAACCAGTGAACTAAGGTTCAATATTTTAACTCTTCTACTCTGTGAATAATATAACAACTGTCATTGTCATATTATTTCTTATCAGGGGCTAATGGTCGCTGTGTGTGTGGTCAGTGTGTTTGTGAGCCGGACTTTACTGGTGATGCCTGTGAATGTCCTACATCCAATTCTAACTGCATTTATGATGAGGTGAGTGCTTCCCAGCAGTTGATCATAAATATTATATTCATACCAATACTATGTTGCCATTGTCACTACAGTTTCAAAAACACATAACCTATTTCTTACGATTTTTGTTTTTCAATTTTAAATTTAAAAAAAAATATAGTAAAAAAAAACACACCCACGGTTTATAAACTCTTTAAAGACGGGTTGCCAGTTAACTGGCTTATTTAGTTATCCCTAGTGGATAGTCGCCAGTATACTGGTGTATCGTAAGGACACTCTAATTTGTTCCGTTTGTGGGGAAAGCAAACTTTTATTACCAAGTTTTTGAAAAATTAGGATTAACAACAGAATGTCTTTACATATACGATGTCCCACATGGCTTTTGTGTCACTTTTTGATTTTTAAAATTATTTATTTGCAATACAATTTTTATGTGATTTTTCTATACTAAATGATAAAGTAAAAGGTCTAGAACTGTTCATACTGCTCTGTCACTGATGAATTTCTGCCAGATGGTGACAATAGTCTTGATATTATGATTGATATCTTAGTGACAAACCTATTGGTGATAATTTAGTTTAGGATATGAAAATTGAACAAAATACTTCAGTCAGATCAACTGTTTTGATCAACTGTTTTCCCAATTTTTGGATGTTGTAAAATCTAACATGTCATTCAGAAATGATTATAACATGCAAAGTATTTAATTTAATTGTTTCAAATAAAGACTAGCTGATAATAATTTAACAGAGAAGGCATGTGATTTCTTAGAATTGGATAGCAGTGTTGCTGAAGAAGTAAAAAAGTAAGGTAAGGTAAGCACAAGCATATCATAGAAGGTGACTAATTAAGGGTTTTCTGAAATAAAATGTGTTTGGCTGAAATGTGCAGATATCTGCTGCTAGCTGAAACCAAACAGAAGATGCCAACTACCCTTTTGAAGGTAAACATGGAAGAAGACGAAGAAAAACCCATAATAAAGTAAGGACAAGATATCTTGTATGAGACTGAAGGAGAAATGCTATTGCTAGAAAGATTAGGGAAATTAAGGATTAAGAAATTCAGACTGGAAAAAATTGAGAAAGAAAGGCAATGCGCATTATTCTTGGATGCACTAGAGACACCTCCCATAAATCCATGCGATACCTCTTGGATTTCCCCACAATGGAAAACAGAATCAAGCTATCCAGGGCTGTTGCTTTTCTCAAAGTGAAATCAGACCATCGACACCCACTTTATGAGGAATTATTCATGCAAAAACAGAGTGAACTCAGACGAGGCAAATCCTGGATGGGTCAGGCTGAGGATGCCATCAAACATGTTTGCCACCTTACTTACATTAATTTGGGAAATGAATGGATAATTATGCCTCTCTCTCCAAACATTAATATTACAGTCCATATCACACTTGATGGATCTGTAGTGCAGATTCCTGGAATTGTTGACACTTTAGTCAGAACACTGATTGACGAAAACACAGATGAAGATAATGCTATAGTTTATACAGATGGGTCAGTCATTAGGGGCAAGCGAAGTGCATGGGCCTTCACGGTAAGCTCAAGGGGGAAAACCATCAAGGAGATGAATGGCGCCTTTGCTGTTACAATTAGTAGCCTTACAGTGGAAACTATGGCTGTAACAAGGGCTTTAGCATGGCTTGGTACTCACAAGTTCACACACATATGCATTCTTAGTGATTTGTTGAATATGCTTTAAAAAATCCAAGCTGAATTTATCAGGCAAGAATGTAACACTAAGCACTTCACGAATATCTGCCCTAACCTTCATCTTTGTGCCATGTCATGCGGGTGTTCAAGGGAATGAGCGTGCAGACTATTTTACAGACACCGCAGTTGCTATGGCTGGCCCAGTACTGGACAGAAGTGATGTTATCTGTGCCATGCGCTGCACTTACCCTACCGAGGAGCACGCCAAAGGACATGACTCCATATCCTTGTCTAGACTGATGGACATGGGGGTGCATCCTGGAGCTGCAAGAAATTAACATTTCACTAAGAGGACATGACGTTTCATTAATCAACACAGAACAGGCATCATCAGTCGTTTTACACTTGTGGAGCTTTTGAGGAGGAGATCGGAGCACCTACGGATCTGTCCGAAGTGCTGTGATGATAATCCTTTCTAATCGTTAATCACTATTTAAGGAAATAACACCTTTTAATTTTGTGTGTGGAAAAAATGATTAGTAGATCCCCTCATACAAGCTGACTAATTAAGATTTTGCTGAAATCAGTTGAGCTGAAAGGTGCTAATATTGCAATCTATAGTATATTCCAGAAGTGTTGCCAAACTAAAAGTCTGTAACTCAGTAGCCATTTGGTGTAAGTTGATGAAATTTGGTATGCAGCCACTTGATAATGATGCCCTTGTAAGTATTTTTTTTTTAAATGTCAACAAACATTTAGTTGTTATTTGGCTTTTTTTTGTGGTTTATGAAAAAAACCGGTGTGTTAGAAAATGAACAGGCACGCAGACTGGATGGCTCTGCACAACTTGGTGGAATACTGATGCATGATAAGGCAGACGTGGTTAGTGCCTTGTGGAAGAGCGTGTACAGTTCAGAGGAGCAGATGGATCACCAGTCTGGTGAGATTGATGCAGGGGGGAGTGACGAGAGGTTCTGGCAGATGCTCATGGCTTAGAGGAAAAGCAAGTCGGACGTCAGAATAATACTGGCACCATTAGTATCGGAACTCTGGAGCTGAAGATGGGGATGGAGTGCTTATGGGAATGCCCCGAGTGCTGTGATGTTGGTTCTTAAATCAAAACAGATCAAATCAAATCACTTTCAAAAGACATTCAAATCAAGAAAATCAGTGTAGCAACAGAAAAATGATAAAAATGACCACCCTGATCTCTTCGAGAATTTGATGTATGACAAAAATTATGGTCAATTGTCACAGATTAGGAGCTAACAATTAAAATTCATCAAATATTTAGCATAAGCATTACGAAGTTTCCCTCGATTAAAATAGAGAAATGTATGGGCTAAAGCCTTCAACCAAATTCACACAAAAATCACAATTCTAACATTACTGCGAGAGTCCAAAGCTACTATCGCAAAGGGTGCAACATTACCAGAAAGAAGTAAATGTCGCCTCGTCACAAAACATGCAGCATGGGCAGTCGGTGGGTAAATGGGTCATGAGTATTCAAGAAAGTAATATCCTCCTGAATGTTTATGATTACAGAAAGTGTGCAACAATGCTGGAACATGTGAATGTGGCAAGTGCAAATGTAAAGGAGAGGGCTACATAGGCCAGTTCTGTGAGAACTGTTTTGTGAGTATTTGATTCATCTCACAAAGATATCTGTACGTGTTAACCTTGTAAAACATTTCACATGAAATTTAGTCACAAGTTATGAATTATTAGTCTCATTGCCAGTTCCACAGCGTATGGGCAACCCCATTATTGCTCCGTTCTTGCGCTTATGAAAATCACACAAAAAAGCTAACACTGTCCTATGTGAAAAGTTGAACAGACTGAGGCCTTACAAAGCCAACAACATGCACATGCATCTGATGCACCAGTGCAGCCATCAGAAATGTCAACACTATCAGTCAGTCACTAGATTAATAATAGTTCAGCATTGTTGAAAGGAGCAGTCATTACAAACTTGCAGTTGAGCATGTATTACTGCATAAGGCATCACTAATTATGTGGTAGCCCCAGTCATTTTTTGAATATACAGTTCACAACATAAACCCCTTGGGCATAGACTAAAAGCATTCCATATGAAATCCACAGCTGACAGTGTTGCTCTGTGTACTCAGCTTAGGTGCCAGCTGTAAACATTAGAGGAAAATGACTCACTAGACCATCATCTTCATCATCATCATCATCATCATCATATTGTGCTATCACATAGGGCTTGCAGTCTAATCCTCCATTTCATTCTGCCTTGTGCAATTCTCTTAGTATCATGGATGGGATCCACATCAGTACAATTGTCCTCTCTCAACTACTTTTATCTCAGAGTTTCTTTTGAACATTCATATATACTTCCTCAGTCCATTTGCTTCCCATTTTAGTGCTTGTTTGGCAATTTTCTGTTAATTTCCCTTCATGATGAGCCCAGTAAATTGCCACCTTTTCTGTCTGGAAATCATTGTTGGGCCAGGCAGTGTGTATGTCATCAAACCATAGACAGAAACAAAAAAGTACTCAAAGGCTTTAATGGACTGCTGACCTATCTGGAAAAAAAAAGCTGAAATATCTCTACCAAGACCAAGGCATGCTTATCAGATACACCTTCTCGTTTGAGGAGACTTACAACCATTGCTCCTTTTCAATATCCACATTACGACCACATCACATTTTATAAATAAAAATAGTAAATAAAGAAAACCGGTAAGCTGGTAATCTGGCTGCTATAGTTTCAGCTTGTCAGCAAATGGGTCACCCCATAGTTATTTCGATCCTGTGCCAATCAAAAATATACAAAATGTCTATCATTGCCCCTTGTGGAAAACCTGAGACTGCAGACCCCGCATATCCACTGCATACACATGCATTAAAAGATAAGGCAGCCATCAGAAGTGCTAACACAAACAGTTCAACAACATTAGAAATGCAGTTCATCATAGGCGGAAGATAACTGCATTGGTAGGGTCAAATAGTTCCCAGAACGGTTGCAATAGTGTACATATTATCTATTTGTTGCATTAAGTACAGTAATTATAATTACATAGATTTAATGTTTTGTGTTTTATGTAAAATTTGTATAACCCTTTTGAATGAAAATATTATTGAAATTATAAAATCGACTCGTGACAAGTTTGACTTATGACCTGTTAGCTGGAGTGGAAATCAGTCATAAGTCAAGGAGTCCCTGTATTATTGGTGTTTGGCTGTAATATGTGTATTCGTCTGTGTTACTGCAAAATTCTACTTGACATTACTGTCACATAAAACAAAGCAATAATAAGATGGCCTAGTGGATAGTGTGCTTGCCTGTCAAAAAAAGGTGATTATGGCTTAGTTACCAAAAATTGCAGATACATTAGGGTATGCAACCAACCAACATGGCCCTGAAATTGACCTCGCCTCATAAAAATAAGTACCAGAGAGTTTCCAGAATTTCCAAGAAGAAAAGTAATCAGGAATAAACTGGCCACCCTGTGTCATACTATAGCCTAGAAACAGAAAAAGGAGCCAAATCGTGTCTGAGAGAAAGAGAGATGGAGAATAAAAGAACAAACTTTATTTCCAAAGGGTAAACAAACTGGTTACGCAGGTCCGCTTAACATTCGGCCCTGCCACCCTCATTAACATAGCAATTGCATTTTATACAGTGTGAGGGCCTAAAATATCTCAAACCCCGACACTCACAAAAGTAGTATCTGCTACAGGTCTGCATTTATATAACAAACCACTGAATCACATTCAAGGTTTACACTGTGTTAGTGTTATATCATCTATCTCTGACTGAAATGTCAATCATGTGTTAATTAAGGAGAATTGAAGACTCATGTTTGTGCTCCACTTATGAATCTGTTTTCAAATTATTAGTAACAGTATGTTATAATCCACTAAAGACATCAAATGAAAGTTAAATGCATTGGAACACAAATGCCTGAGGAAAATGTTGAATATAAAACAGGATGAATTCAAGAGGGGTGAAGAAAAAAAAGAAATATATGGGCAAACACTGGGAATACCAGCTACAGGACAAAGAAAATGGCCTATATTGGACACATCCTGAGAGGAAACAAGCAGAGAATCACCAAGCAAACACTAAAATGGGAGACAAAAGAGCTTCCGGCCAAAATGGAGGAAAGGTTTTGCAGAATGTGAAGCTTCAAAGGTGTTTTTGCTTCCCACAGGGCTTTGCTAATGCAGTTTCCACTTAAGGACGGTAGTCTACGGTTTCGCTGCCTGAGCTACTGAGTTTAGTGCTTGGTTGCAGCCCTGTGAGCTGTGTTTTTTTCTGTGGAAAGCCTTTTATTTGCTCAGCTTTTGTTCAATATGGCCAGTGGCCGGTTTATGTGTAAGCTGGTGAAATACCTTATGTGAGAATTCTACGTGTGTGTAAAGCAACCAGCTTATTGTGACCGAAAACTTCCATCAACAAACTTGAGCAACTGAAATGCGCATTTACTGTGTGCACATATTTCTGGATTGTTCCGGAACTAGTTGTTTACTCACCAGTTTTTCATATGCAGCAGTGAGGGACATTTAATTTGCTTCACACTAGCACAGGAACGGAGCAAGTATGGGGAAACCTGATTGCAGTGATGTTGAAACAACCTCGACTAACTAAACTGAACAAAAGGATTGATGATGTGAGGATGTCCAAAAGAAACTTTAAAACAAACATTGATGAGAGAGACCAGAGGTAATGGACAGCATTCTATCCATGATATCAGAGAGAATGCACAGGATAGACCAGAATGGGGGAATAGACTGTGAGCTCCATGTCACATATAATGACACAACAGGACAACGAATGTATGAATATTATAACCCTGTGAGTCACATTAGCATAGTAGCTAGATGCTAATCTGAAGCTCTTCAGCTTGAATCCACATCAAGATGGATGTTTACCACAGTTGATGTTGGCTCCCAGGTTGATGCAGCCTAAAGTGGGTACCAGGTAACTATCTTGGGAAGTAAAGGTGGCTGGTGTGATGTTGATTCCAGCATCATATGCTTGAATAGCCACTGACATAAAGTTTATTTACTTGCCCATGCTATATTCCAGCTGCCTCCTTGATCCTGAGGCAATGTTTTTAATAAGGCTACTGAAAGAAAAAAATAATCATATATTTATTGACATTTGTTGCAGTTCTGTGGAAACTCATTATGGTGTGATGTTGATTCCAGCATCATATGCTTGAATAGCCACTGACATAAAGTTTATTTACTTGCCCATGCTATATTCCAGCTGTCTCCTTGATCCTGAGGCAATGTTTTTAATAAGGCTACTGTAAGAAAAAAATAATCATATATTTATTGACATTTGTTGCAGTTCTGTGGAAACTCATTATGCGAAGTGCCAACCTATCGTCGCTGTGCACAGTGTGCTTGGTCAAGTCAAAATGTAGACGACTGTCGTCAAGATTGTCCAGAAATTAATCTTGTGGACACTATAACAAGTAAAATAGTTTTTACTTCAGGACAGTACCATTAAATGCTCATGTTAATGATGAGCTATCTCATGTTTTTTTCTTCTTCTTGTGCTGTAAATTCCAGTGGAAAGTTATGTTTGTTCGTCTACTTCTGGACTTTGGTGTTGTTAATTAGTCGCCTGTTATGAAATGCTTTTTAGCATGGCAGTTGGCGTATTCTTCCTCCCACTCCCCTCACCCAAGATTGAGTCCTGGAACCAACAAGGGAAGTAAGGTCACAACTGGGTCAAAGTACTTGATCTTGGGATGCCTATAATAGAGTCAGATATGAGATTTTTATGTCTGCACTCATTAAGAAAGGGGTCTGTCCCTTGCTAGTGAAGCAGATAGCAACCGTCTTGCATTCACGTGTGAACAATGCAGTATCACTCTAAGATTGCCACAGGCTTCTGCCCTTTCACCAATGCTCTTCATTGCCAATGGTCTTCAATGTGTACCTAAGCAGGGCAGCAGAGCAGAGAGGTAAACTGGCTGGGTCAGCACCATTTGGTGGTAAATTTATGCATGAAAAGTAGATGTTGTAAGAGCCTTTGGGAGGGAGTGAACAGTAAGCATGCACACATAGATCATCATAGTCTGAAGAGAGCAGTGCTATGGGATCTAGCTAACACTCAGGCTAATAGTTAAGATGAGGCAAGCATACAGTCAGACTGTTACTGATACCATCAGAACTAGAACTCTTCACTTGCTGCTGAAGATTGGAATGGAGCACTTATGGGAATGTGCTATGATGTCGATTCTTAAATAATTTGATCCTACCTGTCTTATCATCTTGGGGCAACATGAAAAAGTGTAACCATAAAGAGTTAGAAAAGTAAGTAGAAACCTATACATTCATTTAAATGAACTCAAGTTTATTTCAAGTGTAAATTGCAGGCTTCATTGCAAAGTATATTTCCCTGTTTCAACCACTGCATATTACAGTTTTAATTGTGTTGTTAAGGACTGACATTATTAGCACCTGGAGCATGCTTATAAGAGCTCAAACCTCATTTTCAACAGTCACAATCAGTCCTCAGCTCGTCACGAGTCGAATTGCTCGCTACACTCAATTGTTCAGCTACCCTATTCTTGACAACCAGCGAAGATGCCACAAACCAAGAAAGCTACTAGATACCATGCTGCCCGCATTGCCATGAAGAAAACCAACACGCTGACTTACCCCTGTGAGTCGGATGTGATGATTTATTTGTATGCTTGACTTATTTGGAGGCACAGCCAATCGTGGTAGAACCCTCTACTATGGACAAGCCACACCCTGTCCAGCCCGAAGTCAGATCATGAGATACCAGCCCTCACCTCAACAACAGCAGGGTTCCCAGTCAAGATCCTCTTCTAGCAGATCAGTGAAGGCCAGACCAAGCAGGCTGCCATGCTTGATAGTCACACTACTGGAGACACTGCAGATCAGCAGTGTCCTCACAATGTCACTTGAGGGTCTGCTTCAGAACAGCAGATCCCACATGATGTCACTAGAGAGGCTGCAGCTCTCTCCTGATATCACCAGTCTCTACAGGTATCTGAGGCACAGGGTGCTCAAGTTTGTGGACCCAAATCTTAGAGACAGCGAGACCCAGGAACGGGTACAGAGTGAAAACCCAGATCTAGAAATCATCAAAGTGGAACGAATGAAGTCCAGCACAACTGCTGCAGTGATCACCAGGATAGATGAAAGCCGGAATCCACTTCAACAAGAAGCAACAAAAGACGGAGAGTTTTATTCTGGAACTCCTTCAATGTTCATGATGTTAGTAGGCATGGTATACAGCTTCGACTTGCCACAGCAGTCCTACATGCAGATACTCTTTCAATCCTTATGCCTATAACAATTGCCTGCTGGCAAAGATTGACACTGATTTCAAGAAGCCAAATGCAAACTGAAAGGGCCCCAACTGTTATGGCACACACAGTGCAAGATACCTGGGCTACCCTTATCTCCAGGAGTGCAAGAAGGCACTGAGAACATTCCGTATGCAGAAGCAAGAAAAAGATATGAAGTGCCCAGGCTGAACAGGCTTCAAAAAAGGAACAAAACAGTCAAGAAACCAAGCTGCACAGTCAAAGAAAACTGATAAGGCAAGCACACCCACAGAGAACAATAAATTACTGAAAGAAATAAACCAGTCTTAAAACGGAACTAAAATCATTCCAGAACCAGAACGTTGACAGGGCAGATGCCACCACTGAGTTGCTAGACCTGATCTCACAAACACTTGGTGAAATCAAAGCCCTGAAAGAAGACAAACTAGCACAAGTGTCACAGCAAGCAAGCTGGCTAGCAGAAGCCAAAGAAACTAACCAAAAACTCACAGAACTCAGATCAAGCTTTCAATCAAGCCATGAAGAAGGAAAAGCGCACAAGCAAGCAGAATGAGAAGAGAGAGAAAGAGATGGCAGAGCTGAAAGAAGTGTGAGAATTCTCATACAGAGAAGTCGCCCTGCTAGCGCAGGCAGAAAACAGAAGCAGAAGCTCCAATGCCATCAATGCTAGCAGCTAAAAAAAGAAAGAGAATCTCTGCAAATAGAAAGAAGCAGAAAACCAGCTGTGAAACCAGGCATCAGCAGGGACAAGTGCCCAGAAACTGAAATAAAGGTTATGACTCACAAGTATCATCAATAGAACCAGCTAAAACAAACAGACCAAAGCACCAACAAGCCAGACTAGCCAGAGAGGCAGAAAAAGAAGCTGCCACAATGGAAGAAATGGATGGCGACAATGTGGTGAAACTCACCGCGAGAAGCAGAAGCAAAAGCAGAGAGAGAGAATGCGAGCTACAATCAAACCAGAGCAACAGTCGGTACAAGGCCAGCATCAGTCACCACAGCCCAGAAGATGATGAGCAAACCAGCGTGCCAGAAACAGAACTGAATCCAGCCAAAACCCCACAAGAAGACTTCCCAACACTAACCCTGCAAAGAGATAAAGAACAAAAACTCCTACAGGACCCATGGCAGAATTTCAACACAAAATGAGGCCGGTGCTGCCACAGCAAGCACTAGATCCAACAGAGACACCCCATGCAGAGAGTGCCAGCACCAGACGCCAGGAGACACTGCACAAGAACTGCAACCCAACCATCCCAGACAGAAAAACTGATAGCCCTTCTCAGGACTGGAGACTACCACACAAAACACAGAAGCTGCCCAGTCAGAAGCAGCCAGAACCAGTCTGACTAAGCCAGACATGAAGTCACAAAGAAACAAAATATAGGCGTAGTGTACGCCTCATAGAAACTGAATTTAGGCAAATTATCCAAGGATCCCTCTAGGATATAAAAGCTGTCATCTAGACAGCTGAAAGTAGAGAAAGTTTGAAATTTTTGATTTCTTTCAAATCAAATTCAGCAGCCTGCACAGAGCTCGAATTCCAATGGTACTAAAAACAGTACTGTTTTTCTGCAAAGTACATAAATAAATCAACTTAATGTGAAGCAAATCAGAGAATCGTACAGCTGACATATATATACAGTTGAGTCAACTTAAGTCGAACTCTGATAAGTCGAATTTCAGTTTAGGCAACATGATCAGCTTGGTCCTGGCCATGTTATTAGTGTATTCTCTGTACTACGTGGGCTATTTGGATAAGCAGAAGTTAGGATAAAAAGAAAAAATGTCCCTGTGACTTCTACTTATCCAGACTCCACTGTAGTCCTGTATTTCAATGAATATGTTTTATATTAACAATTTTTTTGTTTGCATAGTAAAATATGTTGTTCGTGTCTTTATATTATTTTTTAAAATTCAGTTTTCTTCTTCTTTTGTTCACTTGAAATAGATTATCTATTTCTGCACTTCTGTCTCTAGTATGAACTTCATTGTCTGTTGTAATTCAGTCAGCAACCCGTAAAGTTTGGCTTGCTCCAGTTTTTCTCATGGCCTTGAAATGTTGTACCTGGAACAGTCTTAAATTTTTCCAGACAAAAATAAAGACCAATATTACATTTATTACATTTATCAACAAAAGGCTGAAAATAAAACTCATTATTTGAAAATGTAGGTAATTATCATAAACTAAACTTCATACAAGGATTTGTACAGTTAAAAAGGCAGTAACTCATCCAAATTACCTCTTTGAGTCCAAGGGAGTTTAGCATCAGAGGCCCAGGGGGTAGTCAAGAGAGGCATAAAGTCTGCAAATCTTGCATTCACTTAACTTCTGGGAATGAACCTATGAATGTATGATCCATTCCTTGGGACTCAGAGAGTTAAATAATTATATATTGGATCATGATTTTTATCAAAATGGACAAACAGCACTTAAAATGATAGATGTGTCTGGCTGTTAATAGATTTTTACAAATATTAAATGTCACAATTTGTCAAATTTCTTTTACATTCATTATTTTGATAACTGAAAATCTTTAAAACTTGTTGCCTCATAAATTTATCGTATTAGTAATTTAAACAACAAAGTTTTATTCAACCCTTCTATATTGTAACTGAGATAAATATTTTTTTGTCTTTTCTCATGTTAGTTATTTATGTTTCTCTAATATTTTTTTTTACTCCAAAATTTGTGGGATTTCATTCACATCAATTATCATGTTAACTGAAAACCATCAACATTATTTGGTATCCTATTATTTGTTTAATTTAATTTTCATAATTTATGTTAAATAAAAGTGATCATGACAGTATCATACCATTTAAAAATTGTATGGGCTTCATTTTCTATTTAAACTTCATTAAAATTAATTGTTAGATTATTATAAGAGATAGTGTATGAGATTTCTTTGCGACATAATTACTGAAGCAGAAATTTTAAGTTTAAAAGCAAATTTATAATAATTAATGGAGTTATAACCAGTTTTATTTTCTTCCATTAGGTGACGAGGGACCAAATGTGTGCTCCATCATACAAGATGATGGTTGTTCACTGTATTTCCAGATAACTAGATCCAGTAATGGAACAGATGTTGTTATCAATGTCCAGAAGACTACAAGTGAGATTACTTTTGTGTTTAATACTTTTGTACTTATAAAGTTAATGTCGTGGAGATCAACTTCATGGCACTTAATTTTATCACATATAGCTCAGTGTGTTTCTGCACATCAGCTAGACATCTATGGAGAGCATCACACAAAGAATAGCTTCAGGGGATCACCATAAAAGCTGTCCCTAAGAAGGGAATGATAAAGTCCATGAAACAAACCCTCAGCTTTTAGAGCATAAGGCAAATGACTTGACCACTTACCTACCCAGACCCCAAGTATTTATGTAAACTTCCTTAAAGATAGTTGAAGAGTTCTCATACTTTAACTGTTAATATTGATTTCATTTTGCATAGATTTGTTTGCTCTGATTTCTTTCCAGTGAATTTGTAGGACTTTTGTGTAACTTTTATATATAAATATCTTTCATTCCCAAGAAATGTATCATGTGTAACTGACTTATTTAAGTAAATCCCAGCACAATATGTTTTTTAACTTTTTATATTAATTGAGAGAACATTTAAACAATTTAGCTTTCTTAGTAGCCATTTATACTATTTTAGCCTCAATGTGAATCATGAACTCATTATTTTCCTTACTGGGTGTCTGCTGTTGAAATCATATAGTACCAAAAGAGTTAATGGCACATAATGTGTTTCAGCTGATTTGTTAAGTGTCCAACTTTCACATCCTTATACAGGTATTGGCACTACATAAATAGAGATTTATGTTCATTACTAGGCACATAGTGAGAAGGGAAAATTGGAGCACATCATGCCAGTGGGAAAGTTGCAGAAGAAAAGGTCAGAGGGACAATAAAAGAAATGAGGGACTATTTGGCATTATGACATATAACATAAGTATGTGACTGACACATATAGCATCAGTATGTGACTGAAACATATAGCATCTGTAAGTGACTGATGCATATAGCATCTGTATGTGACGGACACATATAGCATCTGTATGTGATTGAAACATATAGCATCTGTAAGTGACTGACACATATAGCATCTGTTTGTGACTGAAACATATAGCATCTGTAAGTGACTGACACATACAGCATCTGTATGTGACAGACACAAATAGCATCTGTATGTGACTGAAACATATAGCATCTGTAAGTGACTGACACATATAGCATATGTATGCGACGGACACATATAACATCTGCATGTGACTGAAACATATAGCATCTGTAAGTGACTGACACATATAACATCTGTATGTGACTGAAATATATAGCATCTGTAAGTGACTGACACATATAACATCTATATGTTACGGACACATATAGCATCTTTGTGTGACTGAAACATATAGCATCTGTAAGTGACTGACAGTACACACGTCAGGAAGGTTGGGAACAGACATGCCACATGACCTGAAGAAGAAGATTAATTGCAGAGAGAATCAACCTCTTTTGTACCAAACAATACACCATGCCGTTATTATTACTCCCTTCATAATGTACACTTGTTACTTCTTCTTGCCTCATACAGGTGTTAAATTAACTTATTGAATTCTAGTTACTTATTTACACTCCAATATTTTTTTCTGAATGTAATGAAAGGCAGTTGTGATGGATAAATGGAAGCAGCAAGATGATATGGAGCATCGTTTACTGGAATGCAAGAACTATCAATGGTGAAATACACCACTTATTCAATATATCACCCACTAAATGAAGCCTGTGACAACAGAAACCAGGCTAAAAGTGCCTAGTCAGTTGCAAATGTAATATAATGGCTGAACAGGCTCATGCTCAAACTAATTTTTTTTTTAAAGTATGAATGGTAACCTAAAACAACACATTTGTGAATCTGTATACACATTTTGTTTCTCGCTCTATGTGTGGGTTCCAGAGACCATTGTTTTAGGGAGAAAGCATAGACTTTGTAACCAACATTTCATGAAAGGCTAGTTAAAGGTTTGTTGAATTAAGATGTATTGGACTAAAAGGCACAGATGTCACAATCTAGCTGTAAATCACAAAATAACCTGCCAACTCTTTGAAGGACAAGTGCAGAACAAGGGTTCTCACTAGTGAGATACAGTCTGTGCACTTTGGTAAGTTTGTTCTTTATGTAACCAATGAGAGGAGACTTGAATATTTATAGATATATCCAGATGGAGTGAAAGAGATTCTTTACCAAATCGTTATCATCATCATGTGCCCTGCCAACCGGCTTAGGCGCTCATGCATCTCCACAGATCACGATCCCTCGTTGCCTGGAACAGCTCTCCTGATGATATCCCTCCATGCCATTGTTTTAGCCCATCCAGCATGGTATCTCTTGGTCTTCCTCTACCCCTCTTTCTACTGTTATTTCCAGTTGTCACGATATTCCCCAATGCCTCTCTTCTCATTACGTGGCCAAAGAAGAGTGTTTGTCTCCTTCACATTGTTGTATATAGAGGTCTACTTTCAGTAGCTTCTTTCAAGGAATCATTGTTAGTTGCTCTGGCCGTCCAAGGTATTTGTAACATTCATCTCAGAAACCACATCTCTGTTGCTTCCAAATTCTTCTTAATTTGTTCACTGATATTCCAAAATTTGCTGCCATACAGCAGAACAGGTTCTATGTAACATTTTAGCACTCTCTTGCTAACATTAAATGAGAGCGATATTGCATAAGATACCAAATACCAGAAGAAATATTCAATGACAGCACTGCCTTTTTAGTTGCTAGTTTTACAGCAGTGGAATAAAAAAAAAGAGTAAAATGTGTTTGATACTTGTGTTTGTTTGTTGGGATTGTTTCACTATGATATCTGATAGAAACTTACGTTGTTTTGTTGTTGTTACTACTCTTGTTGTTGTGATTGTTGATCCCAAGATAGAGGATAGAAATCAACAATTTTCCCCCATCGTGTGGGTTCTGGGGCCCCTCTGTGGAAAAAAAACAAATACAGTCCGCTGCCCACCCAAAAGAATGTCGACTAAGTGGGAGTTTCCTTCGAAGATGGAATGCATATGCACGAGAGGCAAGGAATCAACAGTCTGCATATACATGAGTCAGATCTGTAGAATAGATGTTCTGCATGGAACACTTAGGTTGTGGAGAAGAACTCTGGTCCAGAAGTGGAGAGCAGCTGGAAGTTGGCAGCCGGTCAATGTGAAGAAGACTCTTTGTCTTGCTTTCCTTTTTTGGTTGTTTGTTTGTTTGTGTGTGTGTTTGTTATTGTTGCTTTTTTTTTTCTTAATCTTGTTGTTTCTGTTGCTGTCATTGTTGTTATTGTTGATGTTGTCATTGTCAGTGTTGTTGCTCCTGAGATAAAGGGAACATAATTTAAATTGGATTCTCTTTGTTGTTGTTTTTGTGTTCATGTTGTTGTTGATTATGAAAAAGATTTTGAGAAATATCCTTGGAACAAGGACAACATTTAGTTTGTCACTCATTATATCTCCACAGCTTGCCCTGAGCCAGTCAATATTGTGCCCATTGCAGCTGGTGTAGTTGGTGGAGTGGTAGCCATCGGCCTACTGCTGTTGTTGCTGTGGAAGATTCTGACAACCATCTTTGACAGAATTGAATACTCCAAATTTGAGGAGGATTTAAAACAGTGCAAATGGGCTCAGGTAGGAAATCTTCTGCATTTGTACCTAAAAGAGCAGCAAGCACATTGTGTTGGGAATGATGCCACTGTCCATTCTCTAAGTGTTTCCTGCCAATTCTTTCATCATACTTTGTTTCCTCATGGCCTTTCTGTTAGTTTCCCAGTATGTGTTATTTCCATGTCAGATGACTGCCAAGAAGGTTGGAGAGGTGGAGCCGGGAACAGCATCACAGTTAAATTTTAGTATGAACTTTTCTTCCTTTGTAGACAGAGAGGAGAGTGTTTTGTTCTTGCTTACTTCAAGGCCCCATTCACTGGCCTTGTTTATGACACTGTTCAGGCTTTCCTGGAGTTTAGATAGGGCATGTCCAATGGACTCAGAGGTGTACCACACATAAAACACATTATAGAATGATGTGAAGAAGATAAGGGGGTGTTGGTGAGCTACACATGATAACAAAGGATCAGATGGCCTGGCTGAGTTGATTGATAGCTAGTGGTCCATCAGGTGGAGTTAAGGGCAGAGAAGGGAGAAAACTAGCATTTATATCAATAAAATCCTCTCCAAACTGTTTTGGTTATAACTGATAATAATTTTTTTTAAACACATCTTGTGAACCATGCATGGAGACAGGCTTTGAGATGATGAGGAAGATGAACAAATTCCTCATGCGGTAGAGAAATCTTACCTTTTGCCTGTCTTAAGCAATTTATTGTATAATGCATACGCTTCATATGCATGGAAATGTTACTGGATCAGAATCATCATTTTAAGAACAATGGATGAAAATGTTTCGATTCTGCATTTTCTCCTTTCATTGATAAATTTACTTGATATTTCTAGCTCTTCTCCTTTTAATAAATACTTATCTCTTCTGCTTCATATTTCAGTGATTACTTGTTATTTTTACCTTTGCTACTTTCAGTGATTACTTAAATTCTGACTTCCACCCTTTCTCATTTTTAGTGATAACTTGTTTTTGTTTTCCTCTGCTGCATTCAGTAATTGCTTTACTTATTATTTTACTTTTCTCTTTTTAGCAAGACAACCCATTCTACAAAGGGGCAACAACCACATACAAGAATCCTATGGTAGACACAAGTGACATGAAGTAGCAATGTCAGTTTTGATGTGTATCACCAACAGCTTGATATTTATCTACTGTAACAAAACTGTCTGCTAAATTTTTCCTCCACTCGTTCAATCCCAGGAAGTTTTACAACAAATACCTAAGGGTGAAGATAACCACTAACAAAATTCATAAGTGCTTTACTTGTGAAGGGGCTCAACACACAGTGGAAGCGGCCATTTTAGTAGACAGATTTCTCTAGTTTGTCTACTCAAATGTAAAAACTAAGAATATGTACTGCTATTCTTAGGTTTCAAGATAAGATGTCTGTCACATATCAGACATTTCTTGGAAATTAAAGAGTTAAAAAATTTAAAAAT